GCAGGACGGAGGGCCTGATACGGTCACTGTCCAGTCGTTCGGGTGGGACGAAACATCGATATCCAGTGTATATAATGGTGTGCACGTAAAAGAACCCTTGACAGATGGAAATCGAAATAAAAGTACACTGTATGGCGTCTTCATTAGCATCATCCCGGTCGCTTCAGATAAGTAGGACGTTAACCCCCATTTAATTTCCTTCCATGTTTTATAGCCAAATTACATATTACCCCATTCATTGCATACCTTTCCTTCCATAAAATGGTATTATATTCTTGTCAAATTGTACCCTGGTGACGAACTAAAACAAATGCCATATTATGTATTATATATGCTTGTAAGCCATTATCATGGTAACCTATTATTCTACATATCATGTATTTTAATTTTTATCATGATAATTTCGTATTCTACATAATATGTATAAAAATGCATGGCTTATGTATAATTCTATATATGAGCCTGGAGACGCTCATTAGCCAATGATTTGATGTATATCAGAACGACGAAGTGGTTGATTTTTGTTTTTAACTTAGCGTTTTTGTGTAATTATAAGATACTTAATACCCACTACTAATGAGAGAGGGTAATTTGGCCTCAAAGGATATAAACCTTCGATTTAGTGCTAAATAAAGTAGTGAATTGGTTTAATCGGTTAGGTTAATTCGATTAAGTCATGGAATTAGCTCTTTGCTATAAAAAACAAATTCTGAAGCGGAGAGTCAGCTTTCTAATGTTAATTTCTTTTTGTGGTTCATTATGTCGACATTGGAACCCAAAATCAACTATATCTCAGCACTAGATTCCTTACGTATGATAATGAACGACGGCAGGTTGTGATCCAACAAAATAAATCAACATGAAAAATCCAATAAAATGGAAAATCAAGGAAGTCTAAAGCCATGTTATACGCCCACATTTTAATTTGGTCGTTAAAAGAGGCCACAATAATCCATGTATCTTTTCAAATTGTTATGGGTTCTCTATTTCATTGAAACGATTTCCAATCAGCTCCTCCACAGGTATGTCCCTTCTTTATGACACGTCTTTGCCAACCGCGTTATATGGCAATAAACAAACGCTGGTCACCCTTTAACCGATGACATAATTTAATATGACCATAATCCAGTCCAAGTTCAAATAAAATCTGTACATGTGATACGTATTAAACCGGATTTTTCCTTTAGAATAACATGAAACAATCACTGGTTTACTATACATCAACACGATCCTATGATAAGCCACGTCTGGTCGTTATCAAGCAGAAATGACATTTTTGTAAACTCGAATAAGAGAGCAGAATTTTTTATTAACCTAAGGAGATATAAGAGAACCTAATCTGCCTATTAATGTAGTCAAAGTCTGATTTTCAAAAAATTATTTAGTTTGTGGTTTTATAAATGTATTTATCATATTGTTTTCCATTTAAGTTGACTGTCTTTATTTCACAAGAATAAGATGCCAAAAATACTTTTATTCCATTCAGTAGCTTTGCTTTTGGTATTAAATATTTAGTTACATGATGTAACCCATGTCTGATTTCCATTACGCTATTCAATTGGGATTTTATATAAATGTATTTTATTCATAACTTTTTTTCTTTTTTTTTTGGGGGGGGGGATTTATATTTCTCTGTTATATGAAAGGCTCTAGTCTTGAAGAACATATACTTAAATGTACACCTCGTTATAGCCCTCATAAACCCAATTAAGCTCACTACCAACACGCCCTCTACATTTAGTAGTCAGTGTGTGCAAAAGCAGCAATATGACGGTGTGTAAATTTTAATCCTGTTAAAACGGTGTGTGCAAGATATTTGTCCAAATATAAAAAAAATGTTTCACGGTACGACATGCGCGAATATCGAAAGGAACCAAGATCTTTGGAGTATAAACATATATTTTACGTTTCATGCAAACCGGATAAAAATTGAGGGTCCACAATCTTGGTATTACATACTTTTACACTATTTGCGTACTAGGAGCAGTCATTTTGTCACGAAATTGGGGTGTAACGGTGACATATTTTTCCTTTCTTGTTTTTAAGATCGGATAAAAATTGCAACCTCTAGAGGGTCTACAAGCTAAAAACGTGATTTTTCGTAAAATCAGGGGCCATAATCCAGGATGTTACGGTCCGGTAGGCGCGAATATCGACAGGAACCAAGATCTTTGGGATACAAACATATATTTTAAGTTTCGTCAAATTTAGATCAAAATTGTGACCTCTAGAGAGTCCACAAACTTGGTATAACATTACACTATTTGCGTACAAGGAGCGGCTATTTTGTCAGGCAGTTTCGGTCCGATTTTCACGAAATTTGAACTCAACCGTCATTAGGGTGTAACGGTGACATATTTATTTTAAACGTATTTTAAAAACGGATAAATTTGTGATTTTTCGTACAATCAGGGGTCAAAATCCAGGAAATTACACTTCGATATGCGCGAATATCGAAAGAAACCAAGATCCTTGGGATATAGACATATATTTTAAGTTTCATCAAAATCGGATCAAAATTGTGACCTCCACAGTGTCCACAACCTTGATATTACATACTTTAACACTATTTGGGTAGAAGGAGCGACCATTTTGTCCGGCAGTTTCGGTCCGATTTTCACGAAATTTGAACTCAAGTATGATTTTGGTGTAACGGTCATATATTTTAACTTAGAAAAAAGTCTGACCTCTAGAGGGTCCACATCCTTGGTATTACATGGCACTGTTCGCGTACAAGGAACGGCCATTTTGTCCGGCAGTTTCGGTCCAATTTTCACGAAATTCGAACTCAGTCGTCATTATTTAAACGATTTTTGGAATCAAAATGGTGACCTCCACAGTGTCCACAACCTTGATATTACATAATTTAACACTATTTGGGTAGAAGGAGCGACCTCTAGGGGGACCACAAGCTAAAAACGCGATTTTTCGTACAATCAGGGGGCATACTCAAGGAATTTACGGTCCGATATGCGAGAATATCGAACGGAACCGCGATCTGTTAGTTATAAATATACATTTCAAGTTTCATCTAAATCGGATAAAAATTGTGACTAGAGTGTCCACAAGCTAATACGTGATTTTTCGTACAATCAGGGGCCATAATCCAGGAAGTTACGGCCCGATATGCGCGAATATCGAAAGGAACCGAGATCTTTGGGTTATAGATATACATTTCAAATTTCATCTAAAAACGTGATTTTTCGTACAATGTCAATCAGGGGCCATAATCCAATATCGAAAGGAGCCGAGATCGATTGGGGATAAACCTATATTTCAATTTTTTCTCAGAATCGGATAAGAATTGTAACCTGTAGAATGTCGACAAACACATTGTGGACGGGCGGACAGACGGACGTACGGAAGTAAGGACAGGGGCGACGACAAATATGAAAATGTAAGCATATAAGATTGTTAGTATATTATATCCCTGTTTTAATTAATGGGATGAAACATCCCTTTATATAGGAGTGAATGGAAATGTTAGTTTGGGATGAAACAGCCGGGGTGAAACGGTTTTGGTATGTTCCCCTTACAATCCGCACATCCTCAATCAGGACATATATAGAGAATCTCCTACGAGTCTTTTTTTATATCAAAAAATATCAACACAAGTCGATAATGTAAACACTACGCTTAGCTTAGTTTTTTTTTACTTTATCGACAGAGTTGATATTTTTTTTTATATCAAAAACGACGAGTAGGAGATTTTATTTATTACCCAACCCTTTCTTACATGCACAAATAAATCAATATGATTCTTTAGACTAGATTTTACTACATGTAAAACGATATGGAAGTTATCACACAAGCGATATCTACTGTAGTATGTTTTATTGGGTGATCTATCTATCACACATTTAGTCTTTTTAAGTACATGTAGTTTATTCTGGGCAGCAATATTCTTCTCTGTCGGCCAGTGTAAGCTATAGTTATTCCCTGTCGGAATTAGGCCGCTCTGTCAAAATTTCAATTATCCATAATTTTGTATGAAATTGTTTTACATTTTGGATTAGGTATGTGGAATATGCATATCCATAACATATCTTTCCTTAATAGATCTACTGGGCGCTTTTGACAAAAAAAACCCACTCTTGTCGCAGTTGTCGGTTCTTAGGACCCCTAAAGCTGTATAAATAAATGAAGAATGAGGACATAGCATATGTTTATGTAGAACTGACAAATAAATTGATGAGGATAATATTATGACAATATTGTAAACAATAATAATCCCATTGGGATATATATATTTCTCCATGGTTAATCCCGAGAGGCGTTCCTAGCGAAGACTCCTTCTCGTCTTTCTATTTTATACGCCAAATGTGAAGAAAATCCATTATAACTGTATCACATTAACAAGTTTTTTGTAAAAGGCGGAAGCGGAATAATTCTGGAACGAAAGGTGGGGGAGTGATGAAAATGCGCAACGGAAAATTTAGAAAAAATCTGTCAAAAACTACAACCTTTGTGGCGTTAATGAGAAATCGTGATGACAGGACGACAAAGTTAATTGGAGAAAGCGGACTCATGGTGCCTATGATTCATGCCAAGTTTGAAATTGAATTCTTCAAATATTCTATTTTCGCGTCAACATTTCTCTCTCTCCCATTTCGTGAAATACTGGCATAGTGTATATTTTCTAACTTAAAAAATCCTGATTCATTTGAGAAAATACAATTCTAATTTTTCTTAACTGTGTTTCAGATTTTTTTTTTAAATGTTTATTGTTGTTCTTTATACTATAGGGATAATTCTCTTTTATGGAATAAACTATAATCTTTAGTTTATCATAACCAAATTTCAACTCTTCTGACTAAACGGCATATCATAAGATAAAACAATATCCTATATGTTAACACTAAACTTTTCAATTTAAAATTGATCTAGTGTAGTTGGAAAACACAGTTTCAAAACATTGCCCAAAGTGAAAAGTTTATGACCTCCTTTCCCTTACACCGGAGTTAACATATAAATACAGCACAACTAATTATTTTGAATGCTAAAAGTCTTTTATTATTAACATGTAAATATATACAATACACCAATAATGCCATTACAAAATCAACAAAGCAAAACAAAATCGAAACAAAATTCATATAAAAAAAAACACAAAAAATGTAAATACATTTATTACCACATGTATCAATTCAATAAATCATTATTGAATGCTGTCATTTAGTAACATGCACCATTTCACCAGACAAAAAAGGTTATTGACACATTATTTAGACACAAATGCTGTAATTTAGTCATTGAATAAATAGGAATGGAAGTAGTAAATTGTCTACGTGGACAATCAATAAGTTGTCAGATAGTTTACACTAATAAACTGTCAATGCTCAATCATTCCAAGAATTGTTTCTATTTTAATTAATTGTAGGCACTGCTATATAGAGTTTCAGTCACGGAGTGCTGGTATGTGGGGGGGGGGGGGGAATATGCCCGGCGGCGACACTTCTTGGGGGGGGGGGCAGAAATATCCATTTTGTAAGAATATTTTTAATAAAAAACATAGAATTTTAAAAGTTTTTTCATCATAAAAAATCAACTGAGCGCAGGCACTGAACAAAGCAGTTACAGTATGGTGGGGGGGGGGGGTCACTGACACTTTCGCCCTGGGGCGCTACATGGGCTTGTGATATCCCTGCTGGTAGGGTACCGGTATCAATTTATTTGGTCGAATTGTATTCATTGCTATATAGTTCAAGATCTGGTGAATACAAAGGTAAGAATTTCAGTCATAGAGTGCTGGTAGGGTACCGGTATCGACTTATTTGGTCGAGATATTTATTCAGTAATGTCTCGCTGGTATTACTTAAAGGGGCATTATGGAAGATTAGATAAAGAGCTATAATAGTCACAAAATAGATAATGAAAACAGAATATGCTGAAAATTTCAGCCAATTGGCTTAACTCTGAACCGAGATATTATCGATTCAGTTTAGGTTATCTTCGATCGTCATTACTAACGTTGGTACGATAATATCCATTTTTACGTTAAATTATCCATCACAAAATGTATTCAAATCCACTAAATATCGTAGGCTAACGATGGCATCGAGAGTTGATTATGATCTGGATAGGTTAATTAATGTCTAATTAATAATTTAGATAACATTTCCAGCCTAAAGAAAGACCTGCAATAGGCATATTTAGCTCTTGCATAATGTATGTTTAAGATGAGTTGTATAATTGTTATTAATAGACTATATACTATATTTAACCATTTTATTTGAAATCAAGGAGTACTATCTATTCTGCTAAGATGATTTCTATTAATGACTGATATTACGTCAAAATGAGCCTTGCCACTGTATTTGACAATTTTATTTTAAAGATTTTTAAATATAACAGATTACATTTAAATGGCCAACAATTGATATTCTAAATATTCTAATTATAATAAAACTATTAAGCAGTGGTGTAGTACCACCTTCCTTTATTCGAGACAGGTAACTGCTTCCATCACTACATCCATGTTTGCAATCCTCTAATGTGGGTCTAGTGATTTTTTTTTTATTTCCACCCATAAAAGAAATATGAAATGACTAATCAACTATTTTAATTCTTTTGGCTTTAACTGGGGTAATCTTAACCTTTAAACTCTGAGGTATTGTGTCTTTGCTGCACCATCATATTACATACTTATAAAAGAAACTGATCAAAATATATACAGCAGTGTATCTGAAAGGAGGTTGCAAAGCAGCATTTTGTACCTCATACAAAAGGTGTTGCATTAATTTGTTTTAGAACTAAACCACTGCTTACAAGTATAAGGTCTATGTTATGGTTGAATTTTTTTTAGTGGGTACAGACTTCGCATGATTTTTGGCAATGACGTAACATATATGCAGCATTCTCAATACAGGCTCCCCCTTTAGCCCACACGGCACATAGCAGTTGTTCATCTCGACAACCTGAAAGAATATATCATCAACATCATTACGATCATCACACAGGCCATGTTGAAGGGCAAAACGGCGTACAAAATATAGCTGGCTTGACAGAAGGCGTACAATTTCTGATTGCTTGATTTGTATTTTTGTGATCAAGCAATTAGAGGTGAATGTATTTAAGAGTCCTTATAAGATAATCCTTAACAATATCTGTGTGTGTATCGAAACGTAGCATGTTAATAAATTCAGAAGTAGTATATCCATATAAGTGTTTTTAATTTTTTTAAGAGTCTGTGAAAATTGACCGAAATAGTAATCTTGCACGAAAATGGTGGGACACGAGGTGCTGAAAAATATATTGCAATATATATTATATGTAGTATATAATAAATTTTTCTCTTATAGCTGTAACGTAATTTGGTCGTCGTGTAATAATTCCTATTGCTGGTAATAATAATGTAATAATTCCTGTTGCTGGTAATAATAATGTAATAATTCCTGTTGCTGGTAATAATTGCTTGATGGTAATAATTGTTGGTAAAAATAATGATATAATTGATGGTAATAATTGATGTATACTAACCATTACAGTTTTTACATGAGTATTTACAATAAATGAGATTATATCTGGGATTGGTCTCACAGTAACCAAACTTGGCCCAGCCAGCACACTCCTGATTCTTATCAAAACAATCAACTGAAACAAAAACATTAATAAAGATAATAATAGGGATTAGATCACCGCTTTGTGTAGATAGAAAAACTGAAGTTTACTATGTACCAAGCGATAAAATGATTAAAATGAATCTAGGCAGGACAATTTGGCTAGACAGCACCTTTATTGTTTAAAGCCCCCACATGAAATTCAAGTGCTAAATTGGTAATGTCTATGGGTGCCCAACAAGAGTTTTCTTTCAAGGCAAGAAAACATGGATTTACTGATTCCAACTAAAGGATGAAGGGGGGGGGGGGTAAAGATAGCAGATGATTCTATACTGTATTTGTAAGTCATAAAAAGCATTTTTACTGATGGGTGCGTTTTAAATCAAATTTGACTATATGACCTTAGACAACTCTGTACGGCGATCATGTTGACGACGCAATGTTGCAGAAGGCCAATCACAATTTTACTTTTTACTTTTAAAGTGTTGAAAAGTGTTCTTTAGATAGACTTGATACCACCCGGACAATGATGTTCATGAAAAGAATGAGTTATTGTTCAGACAATTACAAGAAATATATGTGAATTTTATATAGGCCTAGCCATAGCTGAAAGGTGCATTTTGCGAGAGCAAAATTTTTTTTCTGGCTTCAAACGTTATACATGTGTATAAAACGGAAATTTTAAATATATTCATTTGTCATTATCTACTTTTGAACTATTATAGCAAAAATGACCAACTCTTTCTCTAAATCTGGCATTATGCCTCTTTAGGTTAGGATTGGTCACTATTAATCAGTTCAGATCCAGAAGGTGAGACGACTTTTTGATATGTATTTTCTAGAAGTATATATTGTCCGTTTACTCTGCAATATTCGACAGTTAATTTACGTTCAAATATTTTTTTTTAATTTGGTTGATTTGACCTATTGTTTAAATTGTTCGCTAGAAAAAGAAGAAAATGATCTGATTGCGTGCTACAACTGAGTTTTGAAATTGTTTGATCTGGTGTTTTATTTAAATCTACAGATGTCCATGGGGGCGGGTTTAACCCAAAGACAATCTTGGAAACTTGTCCGACTCTGAACTGTGCTCTATGTGCACTTGGGTTAGATCAATCTGACTGTTGAGTGACCTAGTACTCTTTTGTTTATTCCTTTGTGACCAGAAGTTCGTGTCAAAATGGCAAGATGTCGTTGAAAAAATAAGTACACAGGATTCTAATCATTTCTTACGATAATATTTCATTCTAAAGTGATTAGTTATACCAGCCTATACAACTTCAATAAAAATTGATATCTAATACATCGTTCCTTAATCTCTATATTTACTCCATTGGGAGCAATAGAAATGGAATTTGTCAAAAAAAATAAGTTATGGATAATGGCCGAAGACTGTCCATATGTAAATAGAAAGAACAACTTTGTATTTTCTTTGTATTTACATAATGGACAGTCTGAGGCTATTATCGAACTTAAAACATAGCACCATAGAGATACCAATAATGGATAGTTTTCTAAAAGAACAAGCCACAAAATAATGGATACATTCTTAAAACAACATGCACATGCCCATGAAGGCATGTGACAAAACACTCCAATCATACAATGCAAGCATACATAGACAGTCCAAAATATTCGACATGGAGACATGTTTATAACACAGTCGAAAACAATTATTAATAATGAGAATATATGTGATAAGCATTTGGATACTCATTACATTTGGTAATGTACTCGATATGGATGATAATAGCCGTAAAAATTGTGATGTTCTTGATATGGGGGATAATAGCCGTTAACGTTGTGATGGAAAGGCTGCTCACGAAAATGATTTAGATATTGATAATATTTTTAGTACTGTGATTAATATGGAGGGTACTAGCAGTCCAAATTTTGTTATGAAATTTAATATATACTCTGATGTAAGTGACAGGACACAGGATCAAAGGCACAAACCAATTCACGAAATTCGAACTCAACTGTCATTATGGTGTAACGGTGATATATTTGAACGGTTTTAAAAAATCGGATAAAAATTGTGATCTGTATAGGTTCCACGGGCTCAAAACGTGGGGTTTTTTTGTTCAATCAGGGGCCATAATCCAGGAAGTTACAGTCCGAAATACGCCAATATCGCAAAGAATCGAGATATTTGGGTTATCAACACACATGTTCAGTTTCATCAAAATGGGCTAAAAATTGTGACCTCTAGTGTGTACAACCAGGGGCCATAATCCATGAAGTTACGGTCACATACAAGCCAATATCGAAAGGAACCGAGATATTTTGGATATATACCTATATTTCAAATTATGTTCTGTAGAGTGTCACAAAGAAGGTGTGAAAATGTGGGCATATAAAAACGTATTATCGATCTAGTCTGCCGAACGTACTATTAAACGGGCAAGTGACATATAACGGACGGATTCAAGTGGAATTCTTTATGTAGACAAACACGTGAAATCAACATTCGGTCATGTGACATTTCGGTAACTAAGAGGTTTTTAAACTAATTTCATGTACTGTAATTTAATTATCCCAAAATACATGTTCATTTTTCAGATAAGTGTCTATTATTGGTAAATCTGTCCATTATTTTCAATAAATAATGGACAGTTTTATAAATAATAGATGATTGATTAAGAAAAGCGTAAATTTTCCTATATACTGGATAAAAACATTAAAGGGTGCATGACGTCATATCTATGTTTTAAATAACGTTAAATTGGATTTTTATACGTCCACATTCACATGCATCCCATTACAGGTTAGAGTTATATGCTTTTCCAAATCTATTGAAATTCAGCTAGTGCCGAAATTTTAATTATCCAACATGTTTATCATATGTAGAATACGCAAATTGTAGCAAGATTGATTGAAGCTGAATCCAAATTAGTTTTTAATTCAGCTTCTGATCAAATTTGAAATAAAGTCACTGAATTCTCAAAGTATATCGGTAAATGCAACATGTGAAAAGAACAACGACTCGAAAGATTAAACTTTTGAGATCAGATACTTATGAATCAAACGTGACCTTAAAGATATTAACCCAAATGCAATAGACCAGTTCTCGCTCGTGTGCTGAAGTTCGGTTCGTGTGTTTTCGTATTATAATTGCATCAATTCTGAAAGTTGACACTCATGGCATAGTGCCATTGGATCTATAAGGGCTATATCTCTTCTAAACAAACTAAAGCTCGGAGTATTATATACTCACCACTTGGTTTAAGTTTATCATCGGAGTCGTCACCATCACCGCCACCAGTACAAACTTTACACGATTTCTTACAGTGTGATTTCATCCATTCTGGGTTAATATCACAATGTCCACTTTCAGCCCAGATTTTACATTCAACGTCATTGTGTTCATTTTTACAAGTACCTGAAACATAAAATATACTAAAATATAGGTCAAAATAAAGTACTGAATTCGAGTTGATCTACCAGTTCGAAAAGCACAAAAAATAGTTCACCCGTTCAGTGACAGGTCCTGGTGGGAGCCCTAAGGGCACGGTTCCCTTTGAATGACAGTATAAGAAATGTATTTATTATTCTATTTCTATGAAACGTTTAATTTTTTGCTTTTTGTTGGTTAAGGTGATGTAGCTAATGAAATTTAATGTTATATTCGGGTCCAGGTAAGGTAAGCCCCACCAATGACTCCCTGAGTTTTCTAAATTTTCTCGGCGGAGGACCCCTCTAACCAAATATCCTGCGTCTGGCACATCATCTGTGTACACATTGATGTGACATGCATGTTATATAGAACCATTGGTACTTGGATTGGAAGTCGATGACGTGTAGGTGACGCCCCTCGTGCGATATCATTATATTACTTAAAATACAGATGTGACGTCATCCTTTGATGTTGGCGTACCATTATTTCCAATAATGTACGGGCAACTTGCCAATCGTACATTATCTATACTAGATGAAATATTAGACTCGCGTGACGTATTTCATTGAAAAGCACGTGCTGGATAGTGTCTGTATTTTAAGTTGTTTAATGGCCTCGAGCTATATTGAAACAACACTCGGCTTATCAGTATATAACTTAATGTCTCGCTCTCGACCATTAAACCATACTTAATGTCTCGCACTCGTCCATTAAACTACAAATAATGTACAGTAAATAATTATACATATTCTTTTAAACTGCGTTTCTTCATTCAATGAGTTCTACTGGAGATAATTGGCCATAATTGGATTCGAGTACCTGTGTTCACACATAATAATCTTAATGTTAGTTTTAATTTCGCAGGCGAAGTAAGGCGTTTTTAGGTTTTAGACTTGTGGTCACAAGAAAAACGCCTTTATGCGAAGTAACCATGTAACGAACCATTGAATAAAAAATACCATAGTGTTCTGTCTATGAGGCACTAAATCCCATTCCATTTAATCTCCCTTTATGTTTCAATTAGTGATACGACAAACTCTATAGATTAAATGTTCAGGTTCCCACTATAATGATTCGTGCTACGAGTGAAATCGTGGTTTTAATCGTGGAGTAATCGTGATGATCCTATCAGGTGTTATCATATATTGAGGTCAGTTATAGCAATCGTGTTGGTCGTATCGAAACGTATCCGAACGTATCTGCATGTAATATATCGTGGACTCAATAGGGCCAATCCTATGGTAACGCATTGCACGGCAGTGGGAACTTAGTATTAGAAAGATTAAGCAGACGTCTGCTACTAGGGCTGGCCTAAAAGTTCTAAGCTTATCTCATCTTTGAAAGACCTGTATAAAGTCCATGGTTTCCTTTTATTTTTCTACATAGTCCCCTTTGAGGTTTACACACTTTTGCAAAATGTATTACAGGGCCTGGATGTCGGTCATTACTAAGAAAATGGCGACAGTTAGTTACTACTACTACTAGTACTACCTGGTGCTTTAACGTCTGCTTCTGGAAACAAGTGGAAGACTGACTAGGCCAAATCAGTTCGAATCCACAGTCATAGATCGCTGACATGGCAATCACCAATTTATGAATAGGATCATTTGTCTTGGTGGGATAGGGCGCATTTAGTGAGCATTCCCCGTCGCTTAGATTTGATAGCTTCACGCAGCTGTCTCAGTAGGTCGGCATAATATCTTCCATTGATATTCTGCTCTTTTTCAAGAGAGTCATTTACCAAAATACCATTGGAATCCCAAATTACTAAATCCATCACTTTTCCAGCAGAAGGAACTAACTTGACTTTTAGGGGGCTGGCGACTCTGGGTGCTTACATACTTTAGACTGGATTTTGGATTCTGGTTGAAATTGATGAATCCAGGTCTCATTCATGGTTACAAATCTCGCCAAAAAATACCCGGTCCTGCTTTAAAACGGCGCGGATTGTCACGGGACGTCAGAGATCCACAGTCAAGGGCTTTGACAAGCATCTTGCAGAAACTTTTGTCATTCCTAACTCGTTGGCGATAATGTGCTGGACCCTCTCATGATAGATGCCCACAACACTGGCAATATCGAGTGGTCAATCGTCGATCAGCCATCACTATGTCATGAACCCGGGCAATGTTTTCTGGAATAGTTGCTGCTGATAGCCTTCCAGGATGCGGGTCATCGTCAAGCTCTCTCTCTGTCACGCTTAAATTCCACAGCCAACCTTTTTACAGTGGAAAAGGAAGGGACATCATCCCTTAAAGTGGAGACCATGATGGATTGAATCTTTGTTGGGGTAGTCCTTTCAGTTGTAGGTACTTGATGTCTGTTCAAAAGCCCATTAGTCCATTTCTGGTGATTTCAATGGGTAGGTTCACAAGATGGCCTGATACGAAGACAACAACAACACTACAGATGCAGTTCTTATGTCTACGACTCATTCAATGATTGTACTTAATTGATGGAGACAGAGTGTGTATCAACCCAACTGATCTATCCTTTTTCAGACTCAGAACTTTTCAGTTCGCTAATTATTGTCTTATGTCGACAGAACAACACAATAAGGACTAGATCTCCGCCACTGGCTGTATCTATATTATAGACTAAATATTTGAAATAAAGATAGATTGTTATCCCACAAAAAAATTAACATATAAAATCCAAATGCAATTGACAATTTTATTATTAGCACTTACATGTAGATAGGTAAAGATACCATGCCCCATTCATTACGCCCGTTACAATTTATAGCTAACAGCAGCATTCGTTTGTACCTGAATTTTAGAAGCCGAGGGCTAGTCACCAGCACAGTGAGTTATATACTTTAAATGTACAACAAAATTTGAAATAAAAGAGTGCAGAAACCTTTTACGCCTATAATTGTGTAGTAATGGGAAGTTTTCGTAATCAGTGGTTTTCATACTGACAATGTATAAATTGTGATTAGTCTAAATATTGTATATCACATATGCATAGACCTATAGGTATTAGGATAAAACTTTTACAATATTGATTTGATTGAATTTTAATGTATAATTCATGTCTAGACCGAAATATAAAACCATTTCACATTTATTAAATTCTGGATATCCGTTATTTACAACCCCTGAAGTCCATGTATTTATCTGTCGGATTCCATTCAATTCAGTTTTACGGTGATGGATTGGATTCAGGAATTGTTTAATATCCAGATCTTCCGTGGACAATTCCCGGTTGACTTGATGAATTCATCATACTGTCAAGACGATTGGCGCTATATTTTCAAGCTTGCATTTATATAAGGCACGTCAATACGTCGAGAAGCAACAATACAACAATCAACATAAACTTAAAAGCGCATAAGAAGTTTATCTGAAGTATTTATTTGCACGATGTAAATTCTGTGTTTATTGATTAATAATCACAAACCTATTCATCCTAATTTTTATATTTAAGACATTAAGTTTGTAGGTTAAACTGATACCGGTAAATGTCACCACAACCCAGGTCACCGACTTCAGTAGTTTCTTACATGAATGGAAATGAGGCTTAGTGCTGCATGTATGGGGGGTGGGTGGATGGCCGAATGGTTAGCACGTGTGCGCTGTATCATAAGGTCTGTCATTAAGTCAACTGGCGTGGTTTCGATTCTCCGGTTGTACGTGACAAGGAGTAGGGTCGCCTGTCCAACCCCGTGGGTTTTCTCTGGGTCCTCCGGTTTCCTACCACAGCTAAAGACCCTTACGCGCTTTGAATTATTGAGATAAAATTGAACCATGTGCTAGTCCCGAAATGACCTAGTTTGTGTTGAATGGACGTTAAACACCCCCCCTCTCTCTCTCTCTCTCTCTCTCTCTCTCGCTCTCTCTCTATTGCATGTATTTCAAATTTAACAGAAATGAAGTTTAACCTCATACTTTTCTGCACCAATTGGGCTATATGAAGACAGGCATACGCCATGCTGTTTTCTATGAGGGGAATTTTATCTGGACAGTGTTTAATATCCACTCGACACCAACTCTGCCATATTATATCTGTATTTTAATACTACGCTTGCTCGCTCGTTTATTTAGCAGTGGTGGGGAATAAGAGGGGCCAGAGAAAACCAAAAGCTATGATGGCGACGCTACTTATTGCCATACAGAAACCACAACACCTGGTTCAATGACAGACATCATAAGCTAAAGCGCAAGAGTTAGATCACTCTGGAATCACTGAATTACAACTAATCCCACACAAACTAAAGAGCATCTTCGGCCCATTGCTTTCAGTATATTCCAAGTGTCTTGTTCAATTCCCTGGCAATATTAGTTCTTTATTAACAGGTTTGCCAGTTAGACGCTTGGGTAAACTTCAAAGAAAACCAAATTCTGCTGCCAGACATTTTACTAAAACTAGAAAGACGAGATCATATTACCTTTACGGGCAATTTAATCTAGTGGCTTGTGACTTTGTACATATAGGATCTATTTTAACACTGTATTTAAACATATCTAAAGTGTTAGAACTAGATCAAGAAATTTCTCAACATTGATGAAGCTGTTTAAAAAAAACAGAACTGCTAATAATCTTTCAACGGAAGATCTATTCTCTTTTAGTATTCATGCACCACTCTTTGCAATTCTGTATTTTACTTTTCTAGATAACTGCACAAAAAAAAATATGATGATTCGGGTTTGTTTTATAAATCATGTTAAATTAATATTAAATATATAAAGTGCTCTGAGCACTTTAGTGAAAGCAGATCACTATAAATTCTATAAATCACTAATTCCAGACCCGAAGGATGTTTGCGCGGTGGTCCATGAAAATAGATAGCCATTGTGACAAACAATAATCGTATATGATGTTATCAAAATACATATTGTTTCATTCCTCTGTTTCATATATTAATTATACAGATTAAGATGGCTCCTACCAAGGCTTATCAAAGATATTTGTAAAAATGAGAAAAATACCCAAGTGGATAAAGATTGGCAACCGTTGCTATAAAAAATAATCAAATACCTGGTAATAATAAATAATTGAAACACTTGAAAACTTTTATAGACCGATCAATAGTTGTTCATTGTTATTTTTGTTAACATCTCATGTGTAATTCAGTCCGATTTCATAGTTAACTTGCTATATATCAGAATTCTGTCACTCAGGCACACGGGATGAATAGAACCATAAATTTTTAAAATAAAAAAAATACATGAAAAACCCATCTTTATAAGGTCATACATATGAAACCGTGACAGCTTTAGCCGACTAGAATGAAAGGCATATTTGACAATTGTAAGAACCAATACAGTCGAATTATGAAATGGGGTTTAACGTAAACTGTTCTGTTCCGACTGGGCTAATGCGGCGGGCATATGCCATACAGTGTACTGTGAGGGAAATTTGCCCAGTCCGCAGCGCTACATCCTACCCTTACATCGAATTCCAACTGCCAATGGATCTTTTACATGCAAGACAATGTGTACACGGGGCCTCGGTTTTGCGTAACATCCGAACGACTAGACAGCTGTCCTTGTCAGGCCCTCCGCCCTGCATCCCTAACAAGGGGAAACCACGCCGGAAAATGAAGATGAATCCGCGACCTCCAGGCTAGCGAACCATTGTCTTACTGAGAGATCCTGGCTCCCCAATCTAATTATAAATCAGATGTTATTTTCGATCCATTCATTCAGTTGGTCACTCCATGTTTATGAAAAGTGTGTGTTTGACCCCTTATCTATATGAGAGATTGGGTTGTTGAGTAATCTTTCGGTTTCCTACCACTGCGAAAGGTCCCTACGCGCAAGAGCATTATTAAAATAAAATTGTAGCATGTTAGTCCATAAGTTATAATCTTGTTTGTCAAATGGATGTTATCTCTCTCTTTCTCTCTCTCTCTTTCTCTCTCTCATCAAGATTAGTCAGCCAATCAAATATCTGGATATTCAAAGCCATTCGGGGTTTTTTTTATCACTGGTTTTGATTGGTAGTTTGGTCTAGCTGAAGTCGACACATCACATCATACACATTACTGAACATGCCTTATAAATGTTTTTTGGGCCAAGACGAGTTCCTGTTTTCATTAGACCATTCAGTGCAGACCAGAAGGACGATAAACCCCTTTTCATTTCCAAGATAAAATGAAGCAAACAGAACAATTAAACGGAAGGAACTGTTTGTATAGTCCTAATTACGATATAAACACTGATATTTGACAATATCTGTGATTACCACCATTTACGTCGTGGGCAGAAGTAAAGAAGGTACACAAACAAACCAACTAAATTTGGATAATCAAAGTTGTCTTACAGCGTATTCAAATAACCCACCACATATCGATCATTATTGTCGTATCAATGTGACATTTAATTCTCAAAAGAAAACTTTTCCTCCTACTCAAGCGAAGTTATGACCCTATTATTTACAGATCATCTAGCTAACACAATCTGTTTCATAACCAATCTAACATAGGCTTATCCGGCCATTATAAATTTATTTCTTTAGAAATAGGTCTGTTGAATTTCCGTGCTTGAAAACTTCGCTCCAGTTAATGTGGTGAAAACGCAATTGTGTTGTATAGAATTCATTCTCAATACGTCAAACTTAACCTACTAGGAATTAAAACATATATCGAAGGAAAAGTGTCAGAAACACTTTAGTAAAGTGTGGACTGATGATATAGAGCAGGAAATGTATAAATTGTGAAGGGCTATTTGTATGACCAAGAACAAATCCGCTAAAACTTAATTAGAAGCATTTACGTCAAGTGTATGTCAAATATATAAAAGGAACATCCGCACCGTCTCACACTACCCCCAAAACTTTCTCCGCTCCTTTCGATGAGATTTTTAACTTGGGCATTCCCTGCTAAGACACTATGTCTCAAAATTAAACTGGACCAAGCCTAATCCCTACGGCTTCCTCCAGTAAGTTTCTCCAGATCTATTAAAACACTAGCTTTTATGTTTATTTTTGTTTAATTAAATGAATCAAACTTGTACCACCCCTTTAATGGATTGAAAGATTTACATGCAGATGTTTTACCTATGAGAACCGTTCAAGATGACATTTACAGAATCAATCCGCCACTGGGGAAAAGTAGCCTAATCAGTCGTCAATGAATTACGTGCCGTTGATAAAATGTAACAGAATTTCTAGTCAATTGTTCATTAGATTATATTATTGACTATTGATTCTTAACACTTCAAAACACTTCATAAAAGATTGATAATGACGTGGTTTTATTTATTTTTCTCTGAAAGATTCTACATGAATTCAAAATAAAGATATCCAATGGCAATACTTATTTTCAAAATAAAATCCTTAATTCGTGTTTCGATGATGTGCCGAGTATTGGTGGATTGATATTTTCGTTATTGCCTTTTAGATAATGTATATTTTTTTCAAAATTTAAATGTTTAATAAAGCATTTTCTACCATCGAGAGATCAAAAACAAAACAAATTGGTGGAAAACGTCTAAAATCACCAAATATCATCTAATTTGTACTTTTATCTATTTTAAAGCTGACAGTTTAATTTTGATAACCAGCATTCAATTTACAAGTGTTAATTTTCCGACTTGTGTTAAAAAATAAACGTCTTCATTAGCCCAGTCGGAGCAGAATAGTAAGACGTTAAACCACATTTCATTTCTATCTCATATAGATTAATGTTTGTCCTTCTCCAAAAAATCCATGATAGATTCTATGACTCGTACGAATGACGCCACAGAGTTTGTTTCTTTAAGCAAAAACCCTATTGGCCACGGAATGTTATTTTACCAATAGCACATACAGTTGAGTGTTTTGGTCTCATTTTTCCTAGAGGAAATCGAGTTTTCTGAGAAAGTTATTCACTATTCTACGTCAATAAAATGAAAATATGTTGCTTTCTTAAAGGAGCTAAATCGCTAATATTTAGGACCTAGAAATTAACCCAAATGGGTAGAAACGCATATAATAATGTAATCTGATTGTATATAAACTGATTTACATTCAATTGTTTACTTTTTGACTCTAATTTCAAATCAGTTATGTCCAGCGAAATACAGCATGTGTCTCAACCCTATAGCAATTTTTGGCGTGTGGTTATTTCCAGTCTATTAAGCAGGCTATCCAGTTGAATATGTCTAGCCTCGTTCTTTCTGGTCACTTGTTGCAAATGACACTAAAACGCACTATGGTACACGATTCGAGTACCAATGATAAAATGTTTATTTTGTCTTAAATATTGGATATCAGAAGCCTGCCTTTTCCTGGTAAGATCACAACATCAATGTTGATTTGAATTGACAAATAATTCGTATTTTCAACGTGTAAGACTTTGGATGATATTGAGTTAGAGACTTAGCTACTTTAAAATTGGGCAAAAGTATTGATCCATTTGTGAAGTTTTGAAATAACGTCTGAAAAGCATCATAAACTCCTACGACATGGCATTCTACTAAGTAGCATTGACAGATCATAAAGATTCATTTTCACTCTCGCCAACTCAAATTAACTCTAAACTCACCTAAACACTGGCTCTGCTCGGCGTTCGTTACACGCGTCCATGCCACTAGGACTAGACATTCTTATAGAGCTAATGCTATAAGTATCATTGACTGACATTTATTTGTCACGAAAATTCTGCAGACATACACAGTTGGAAATAGATAAAAGAGTAGAGAGCATCGCCCTGTAACGGCAAGATTCTCCTACCTCCCATTGTACATGTAACTAGAATTAAAAGTACCATCAAAATGACCGAAGTATTGTGGTTTTCCCTTTAAAATGGGTATGGGTCAACCTTGGTCATATATGGCGCATTGAGAGAAGCTTTTTCTGTTCAATCCAATCCCTCATCTGCAGAATAATTCACGCTATTTAATATCTTGAGAGACCAATTGCTTCCATATTAATACATACATACCATTATTATTTTTATCATCGGGTGTTGCTGTGGTCGTTGTGGTAACATCTGGCTTGGACGTATCGCCATCTGGTGTACACACTTTACAAGCCATTGCACAGTTATCATCCATCCATACCGGGTTCTTGATACATTCACCTTCTTCTGCCCAGATTTTACACTGTGTACTATCATATAAATTCTTACAATCACCTACAAACAAACAATACAAAATAAATATAGGTACATCATACAGAATTCAGGAAAATAGACGCTGGAATTTGAAGTAAAACTAAACAAAGAATTTTTTTTTTTTTTTGGATGAGATATTTCTTTTAATTCAGGGGGTCACGGTGGCTAAGTGGGTAAGACGCTGGCTCGCTAGCCTGGAGGTCGGGTGTTCGATCCCTGCATTGGCCGAGAAAGTTCACCCAGATTTTCCGGCGTGGTTCCCCACTGTTAGTGTTGCAGGAAGGAGGGCCTGACAAGGACAGCTGTCTAGTCATTCGGATGAGAGTAAAAAACAGATGTCCCGTGTACACATTGGCGTGCACGTAAAAGATCCCTTGGCAGTTGGAATTCGATATAAGAGTACGCCGTAGTGCCGCTGTCCGGGCAAAATTTCCCTCATTGCACACTGTATGGCGTATGCCCGTCTTCATTAGCCGAGTTCGGAGCAAAACAGTAGGACGTTAAACCCCATTTCATTTCATTTCATTTCATTTCATTTCTTTTAATTCAAAAAGATTAACCTGATATCAACGAAATCAAATGATTTAACATGTCGTCAACCCAACGATTTGGTCATTTTGAGACTAATATATAAGTTTCATTGTCATGCTTACAAGGACATATATGGTAGCTCAGCGAGTAATGTGCTGGTTTACCAACCAAGAGGTCTCGGGTTTGATCCCAGTGTTGACGGAGTGTTGGATTTTCCAGTGTGGTTTCCACTTGTCAGTGATACAGGACGGTGGGCATACCTAGTCACAGCAGTTAGTCATACATGTCCATGCAGAATTTCTCTCATAGCACAAAGCATGACGTATGACCGCCTTCATTATCCATGTTGGTGTAGAAAAGAAGGATATTGTACCCCATTTTATTTCATTTCTATGCTTATGTGTGAAATGGGAGAGTGAATCTTAATCAAATTCCAACTGCCAGGGGATCATTTAGGTGACTGGGCTTCTCATGAATTGTGAAACTGGGCTTGAAAAATCCACTTGGACAATCCAGTGACCCCGGTGGTTCAATGTAATTCAATAAAAGGAGGAAATTTAAATAAACATAAACTATTTAACATTACATACCATCATTGCATTTCCCACATGATTTTCTACAATTTGGAACCATCCATATAGCATTTACTGTACATTCACCTGCCCTAGCCCATCCCTGACACTGACTTGTATCATGTTGATCAACACAATCACCTGTAAACCACAAAACACAACATTTACCAACACATACTTCAGATCCTAATCACCAATCAAATTTCAAAAGTAATGTAATTTACCAATAAATATAATCATTTACTATTATTATATTATTTTATTATTTAATGCTACACAAATTCTAGCAAACTATTTTACTATTATTATATTTTTCTGTTATTTAGGGGGGTTGGATGACTGAATGGTAAGCACGTGCACGCTGTATCATAAAGTCTGTCATTGAGTCAACTGGCGTGGTTTCGAATCCCCGGTTGTACGTGACAAGGAGTGGGGTCGCCTGTCCAACCTCGTGGGTTTTCTCCGGGTCCTCCGGTTTCCTCTGACTGCTAAAGACCCCTACGCGCAAGCGAATTATGGAAATAAAATTGAACCATGTTAGTCCCGAAATGACCTAGTTTGTGTCGAGTGGACGTTAAACCCCATTTCTCTCTCTCTCTTTTCTGTTATTTGACACTCCACTAATAAATTATTCCATGATAATCAGGTAAGTATATACATGGCTTTCCTGGCCCTTGGGGATAGCTTAGAATTTGTGAGATTTTTTACCTACATGCGAAAAAGTATGATATTGTTGTATAGAACAGAATAAATGTCTTCTAAGTGTCGTCACCACACAATTTTAGCCCATTGGATTTGCTAAAATATATCTGAGACGATACCTTTAAAATGCGTTAATCATTCTGCCATGTTAATTAATGTCTCATTTTTTTGTTTTTGCATAATATTTCCAGTTCTGATGACCCGAGATGTATTATAAGTTGTTACGGAGCAATTAACTGACAATTCTATTCTTGTAACCACTGCTCCAGGAATGTGACAATAATTGGAAACGGTCGATTATGTTACAAATAATTGTCTCACCGTCCTCACCACCACCAGTTTCACTGCTGTCCTCTGTTGGTTCAATATCAGTAGCACACATACGACATGCTTTACGACAATTTTTAGCCATCCATTTGTAGTTAATGTGACACTCAGCTTCCAGCGCCCATTTGTTACATTCACCTTCATTTGGATGAGTGTTATTACAATCAACTGAAAATAGACCAAAATCTTATAATGAATAGAAATTATAGGGACGGAAGAATGAATGAATGAAGGAATGAGATGTCCTACTTTCCAGCTCCAACCAGGTTAACGAAGACTGTGCTATGAGAGAAATTGAATCCCAATTATCAAAAGATGTATACGGGACCCCTTTTTTCGTCCCATCTGAATGAAGTTGTTCCTTGCAAGGCCCACCATCCTGCAACAATGACATTGAGAAACTTTGCCGGAAAATCCCGAGGAACTTTCTCAGACAACACGAAGATCGAACCGGGACATCCAGGTTAGTGAGCCAGTGCCTTAAATACTGGGCCACAACGGCTAACAAAGAGGCGGTAGCATTCTCACTAATAAATTAATAATATCATATTCAACATAACATTATAGGGTCACTGATGGAAAATACATACACTGCCTAGTTAAAACAAAGTTTTTTTAATGAGCATTTGTTAAACGACTAAAACCATTTAAATGTTTGCAACTCATAAAACTTAAACCATCTACATCTTCAGCGATGGCTAAGCAAATAATTGTCCTCAAATTTTGCATACAATCGAATTTGAACACCCTCGATATATTTCTTCATAAAAACGATGTGTTCAATTAGTATTGGAATATTTCCAGGCCATACAAAATTATCCTTACAGGAACAATATGGTATTCTTTGAAGAATCACGTTAATAAATCCGAACTTGCGTTGTGATTATTTGATGTTTACAAAATAACTATTGACTTAGTGCTGCAGTTTTTTTTTTATCAATGTTTGTTTTGTATTTCTAATCTGTTCTACACAGTTCAAAATTTAATCAGGAACTTACCTTCCGGTTTAATCGCATTGCCTTGTGTGATACAATAATTACAGGTCTGTTTACAATTTCTAGTCATCCAGTCTTTATTGGTAACACAGTCGCCATTATCTCTCCAACCCGAACATTTATCGGTTGGGTAAAAATCTTGACAAACATCTAGTAGAAATAACCAAACAAATAAAATATAAGTTTTGGGTTTTTTTTGTTTTCTTTCATTTACTTTTATGTCACTGGTTTTACTGGACTCATGGTGTGTGATTGTGTGATGTTCGAATTCAGGAAAGGGATATTTAAGAGCTTGGGTAGTATAAACAGCCAATAAAAATGCAGCTGTTCTAAATATGCCCAGACATTGTCCAAGGATCTATTTATAAACCCACTGACGTCTTGTGCATAACACACCCAACAATTATATTTTGGTTTACGAGAGTGTTATATTTGAACACTGTTATGAAAGTGTTATATTTAAATAATGTTATGAAAGTGTTATATTTAAATAATGTTATGGGAGGGTTATATTTAAACAATGTTATGAAATTGTTATGGGAGTATTATGTTTAAACAATGTCATGGGAGTATTATGTTTAAACAATGTTATGGGAGTATTATATTTAAACAATGTTATGTTATGTTAAAACAGTGTCATGGGAGAATTATGTTTAAATAATATCATTGTAGAATTAAGGTTAAACAATGACATGGGAGTATTATGTTTAAACAATGACATAGGAGTATTATGTTTAAACAATGTCATGGGAGTATTATGCTATTGGGTTGAATAAATGAGTCAATGTTTGCAAAAAGCTTCACAATCATTGATCAATCAAACTGAGTTTATATGTGTGTGTGTTTGACACCCAAGGTATGATGTGTGTCACGGGCATTACCAAGATATCCAAAAAGCAGATAACAATTATAAATAATTTTGGACGAAGCTGGTATGTTTCATCTTTTAGGATAATCGATACGGTTACTTATTTGTTTTGTACTGTATTATCTGCAGTAAGTTTAGAAAGGCAAACAGGAATCTCTTCAATCACATTTTTTTGATTATCCTATTTCCTATTCAAAACTCCTAACACACCAGACCAAAAGTTCAATAGCGAGTTTAAGACAAATACACTCAAAAGAAATTTTAATCAATTTAAACTGAATTAAGTTTTGGCTATTTTAAGTTAACGTTGGATTCCATTGATTTCATGCTGCTATCATTCTTTCTTCTTTTTCTGTCAATTATTCAAGAAAGCAATTTGCTTAATTACATAATAACAACCAGTCTTTACATTAAAATAGGATATAATTATAATTTTCTTTTGAGATTAATGTTAAAGATCTGGCTCATACATACAATCCACATTAACAATTATAAAAACTGTTATTTATTACTATACTCATTTTTCAAGTGTTCTAGTATTATATCAGTATATCATTTTTCAAATATAAGAAGGGGTATCAGTGTTATGAAAGCATGTGTCATCCTTTAACATTGCTTTTAGAGATAAATAGGGAGGGTCGTAATCTAGGGTTCTAAAAGTGGGGGTGCAGCAAAGTGGTGGGGCGCCATAGCCTCCACGTATGTGATTTAAGAAAGTTTAGATCAGGGCAAACAAATCCATTGGCGTGTGAGCGCCCTTCAAACCGATCGACTGATCAGTGCCTTAAGAGCATTACTGTGTGATCATAATCAAGTGTATTATTTTATAATTGAAAGATTGTCAAATAATTTTATTTTTTTTGGATGGGGTGGGGGCGCAATTTCTCGGGGCCTCTTATTTTTCTGGGGGTGCAATGTACCCCCTGCACTCCCGCTAGATACGACCCTGTAAATGGGGTGCGACTGTTTGTTTTACTGTTGGAAGACTTCTTCATTACCAAATGATAATCAGATAATGATAAAATAGGTACCGGTATCAAAATTGATAGTTGATGACTACTAATAAGACCCGATTCATAATATAATTGTGGATAACAAATCTAATCTTTTAATGGTTTTGAAAAGAATATACAAAATGTGGGTGATTAATCTCTTCTTCACCAATGTTTGAAAACTTTGCAAAATACATTTTTTTGTCGATATTTGACTTTAATAATGTAAAAAAACAGTGGCTAATTTAATATATCTATTTTTCATTATGACAGAAAGGTGTATACAACTTAGCATATATAAACCTTTTTTCAGCTATTGTGTCAGAAAATAAGGCATAAATCAGTTGGAAACAATGGATAATGTGCATAGTTTTATTGTTTTACAAAGGTTATATTATAGAAAAGAGTATACAACAGTGGATGATGTACTTAGTGTTCTAATATTATAAAAAAGGGTATAAAACATTGGATAATGTACCTATTTTCCAATCCTGTGGGAAAAGATCAGCAAACATACCAAACCACTGCCATGCCCAAGTGGTGAAGTGGTTTTCTGTAAACAGAACATACAATTGATCAATCCGTACATTTTAGCCATTGTATCAACACTCCCTGAATTTAACCCCACAGATTTTACATATTCGAAAAGACACAACCGCTTTCTCAAATACATTAACTGAGAAGTCGACATCTTGGAAATGCATCAGTCACATTTTAAAACACTAAAAGAATGTTAAGCCTACAAAAAAAATTAGCAACAAAAAAAACCTATATCTTTACCTTCGTATTCAGTGTGACTTTTACCACAGACTCGACAGGCTTTACGACAGTTCCTCTTCATGTAATCCTGGTTACGTTCACATTCTCCATAATTAGCCCAAATATTACATGGCCAATCATCATAAAGATTAACGCAACTATCTGTAAAATAAAGAAGCAAACGTTATTAATCCTATCATACGATTGGTGCACTACATGATTATGTAAAGGTTTGGGCTTTCTTTTCTTTTCGTTAACAATATTCAAAGTCATTTCGGGACTAACACATGGTTCAATTTTATTTCATGTGTTTAGATCTAGGAATTAATGTTAAAGATAATCTTAGGGACTAATGTTTCGGGTTATAAAATAAAAAATGTTTCCTTTTTTGTCATATATTTTTACATGTTTTTAGTTCTAGGAACTAATGTTCAAGATAATTTTAAGGACTAAGTGTTTAGTTTTAAGGATTAATATTAAAGATAGTGTTAGGTGATAATATTACAGGTTATAAAAAAAAATGTGTTTTACATTTTGTTTATACTTTATAGTTATAAAATATAAAGTGTTTTATATTTATTTAGAGCGACCGGTTATAAAATGTGTTTTATATTTGTTTATACTTTGTAGTTATTACATATATAGTGTTTTATATTTTACATTTGTTTATACTATATAGTTATAAAATATATAGTGTTTTATATTTATTTACAGTGACAGGTAATAAAATAAGACGTGTTTTACATTTGTTTATAGTTATAAAATATCAAATGTTTTCTATTTATTTACAGTTAATTTTGATATTTGTTAATACTGCTCACATTAATCTGCACTTTTAAACTCCTTATTTAATATCCTTTATCTTTCGTCTCACTTGGATGTGCTTAACTACGACAAGTTATATTTTGTATTGTATACTTGCAGGGTTTTGATTACCTGGTTTCCTGTGAACGTGAGTCTGGATAGTTGATTTATAGCCCCCCCCCCATCCCCAACACACCCCCACCACCACCACCCCCTCTCCACAAAACCACAACATGCGGTCACATGTCACACGTACAATGCAATGGCTCCACAGGCCTTGCTCAGTGAAAAATGGAAACCGTCCATAGAAATTCTTGGCCCACGCAGGAACACGACAACAAGTATACGCAGGTAAGGACAACAGTAATCTTGATTGATCTGAAAATCATATTACAATTTTTTGTCTGTTATTTTAACCGATCGTTCTATTTTAGCCATCTACAGTTCATCCCAGACGTATGTTGAATCCACAGGGATTGGTGCAAATTTTGCTTTCTTAAAAGCCTGTCTCTTTCTATTGTGTCGGATTAAATCTCGAGACCTTTTAATCATTCTGATAAATGTAAGCAGATCAATTAGGATTTCAACTACGCCAATGAAATCATAGATAAAACACAGAATTGTATTGACAAGCTGTATTCTTTCTAAGGTACAGGTAGCTTAATCTGTATATACTTAAGTGTTTTAAAATAAATGTTAAATTTCTTTGATTGGCTTTAGAAAAGACGGGATTAAAAAGAAGAATCCTTTGGGGTATTTCGATGTTAATAATATCATTTTAAACTTGACATGTTTTTCCGGGCAGGAATCAAACCCGCGAACCCAGGCATAGAATCCATACACCTCTACCAGTACCAAGTGTGAGCCAAAGGAAATTCCTCACGACCAAGTCAGTAGGAGAATATTCAAACCCATGGCACCACAGGACAGAACAATCTAAGATTTATGAACAATCACATAACACATCTAAATATCAAATCTAGATAATCTCCTGACTTGGATTCGATTGGATTAAAAACAGACCCACCAATTAGACTTGTGAAACAACAAGATGACGATGGGCTTGTTAAGGCGCAGCATAGATCGATGAAATTTCAGATCATCACATCTTTGTAAATGCACTATTTATGGACTGATCTTCATATTAAAGATTCAAATATTACAATAATTGTAGTTTGCAAGGGATTCCTACATCACTCAAATCACGCTCGGAGACATTAAATGCAGAGATATTGTAGTTATTGCTATATCGCCTTGCTATTTATTAAAAACGTAGCAACATTAATGAAACATTTCATTTTGATAGCTACCTGTGAGTTTTTGTATCACTGGCATCTTACCCAAGAATATAACAACGCATATAAAACTACATAAATATATATCTATCATTTTATTGACTTTGTATGCGAACATTCACTTTTCTGGGTATAATTGGGCCAATTTGTATTTAATGGAAGAAAAACAAACATAGCTAGTACAGAGAGTTTACAATACACATTTATACACAATGTGTGCTTCTTGCACGCTACAGTTTCTAGGCTATAGGAACAAGGTATATAGGTGCACAACAAAATTATTGTGAGGGGGTGTGGCTTTATGGTGGAGCTGAGAAATTTTCTGTCTGTTTTAGGATATGGGTGAGGCACTTGATGGATGATGTGTTGAATTTTTAAAAAAAACATAATCAGCTGAGTTGATTTGCTTATCATGTTTCATGCTCAATTTATTAAAACCGTAAAAGTCATTTGAGGGAAACCCTTGCAAACTACAATAAACTTAATGATTATCAATCCAAAAATGGTTCAGTACACTTTTTACAAAGATAAGAAATACTAAAAATTGCACTAGATTTGACATATTTTACGGAGGATATAAACAAGCCAGGGCCACCTTTAATGTTGAGTAAAATCTTTGGATTGGTCCTGTTTTTAAACCGACTGAATTCCAACCGAGGGGTTATCTACAATTGATAATCAATTTCAGTAGGCCTACATTTTTAGCGTGGATTAAGCTATAACAACTTAAGACAGTGTCTTAATATTGGCAAAGTTCACCAGCTTTTTATTATTGTTACAATGATTTATATTGCAGTTTCTTTTTAAAATCATTTATATTGCAGTTGAAAGTTTTTACAACTAAGACAACAGCAATTCTACACACATATTACAATAATTATTTAAAAATAGTTTTACAAAGGTATGAACTGGTTTAGTGTTGTCTTTTTATTGTTAGAGAATTGCTTTAGATTTCAATGTATTATTTCAGAAATTCAAAGAAAACATGTTGCCGTCCATTTGATGCCAAATTTTATTCTTCTGAATATATCTAGTTTCTCTAATAACAAATTTGTTCATCTGCTTATTGTATAGAACTGGGCCAGATTAAGGGCCACAAAATTAGTTTCTCTAATAACAAATTTGATCATCTGCTTATTGTATAGAACTGGACCAGATTAAGGGCCACAAAATTTGATCATTTGGAGTGGACAAAGAAACCCATGGGCAAGACTGCAATGATGATATCGTTCAAATGACTTTTTCTAATGAAAATATCTGTCACAAACAGATGCAAGATATTATCTTATATGCATAATGTTTACTAGTCAGTTAAAATGTTTAGTACCATTAATCAGATGGTATACCAGTAGTCATTAAGTACTTGTTATGTCACTGTGACTCATACGTGATGTGTATTAGAATTGGTCATGTTTTAACACTAGTAGTGCAGTGTTTAACAGCAAGTATAGTTATACACCTGCTAGTTATTGACTATTGTATAATTTCTAACTACTTTCTATACATACTAAAACATTAGATTTGTAGACTTTAAAAGTTTAATGACTAAAAGTTCTCAATTTATAAGTAAACAGTAACCGTTTCACACTGTGTGTAGTATGGATTTACTCCTTGGAATGGGTGATGGTTAATCGCATACACACAATCCAAAATGTTAACGGTGATTTTGAGGAATATCTACCTTATCAAAATATGTCAATACTATTAATCGTTTGTATTTTATTTTAGATATTTATATTTAATATGTTCCATATTCTTGGGAATGGACTTGGGTATTCAACACCAAAACATTCAGCTGTCAAAATAAAAAGTTCTTAACAATGGATAGATATATATATATATATATATATATATATATATATATATATATATATATATATATATATATATATATATATATATATATATATATATATCAATTATATTTAAAATAGAGAGAGAGACGGGGTTTAACATCCACTCAGCACAGACTACACCACTTTAGGACAAACATATGGTATATTATTATTTCAATAATTCGCTTGTACGAAGTGGTCCCTCTAAAATCAGAACAGGCTGAATTCTCTTTGAAACATCAAGAGGCATTAATCATGCTCATTAAAAAAAGGAATGTCCTTACACATTTCTTAATACCACGACACATCAAATCTCGCAAGCTGTACTTCCTATTTGTCATTTAAGAAAAGAGTGTCCGGTTTGTGTTCCTAATTAAGGGGTTTCTGTCAAGAAAAACAAGAGACGTGTCAGAGAGCTTTTTCTGGCATTATTCGCACATGTTAATTGATGATAGGCTTCTATCTGTATCGTGTTAAGATACTCCTTTAATACAAGGTCCACGGGGATAAGAAAATTCTTCCGCTTAAACATACATTATGCAAAAGCTAAACCTGTCTATTGCAGGTCTTTCTTTGGGCCTTAAATCTTATATTAAACTATTAATTAGAGAGAGAGAGAGAGAGAGAGAGAGAGAGAGAAATGGGGTTTAACGTCCACTCGACACAAACTAGGTCATTTCGGGACTAACATATGGTTTAATTTTTATTTCAATAATTCGTTGCGCGTAGGGGTCTTTAGCAGTGGGAGGAAACCGGAGGACCCGGAGAAAACCCACGAGGTTGGACAGGCGACCCTACTCCTTGTCACGTACAACCGGGGATTCGAAACCACGCCAGTTGACTCAATGACAGGCTTTATGATACAGCACACACGTGCTAACCATTCGGCCATCCAACCCCCCAAACTATTAATTAGACATTTATTAACATGACAAGAACCATAATCAACTCTCGACGCCATCTGACGCGTACAATTTTAAACAGGTTTGAATCCGATCTGCTATTCAATGGATGTTCATGATTAACCGTAAGAATGGATAATCGAGGTTTTGTTTATTATCTTAACAACGGCAACAGTGACAATCGAGGCTACATTGTTTTTGAAATTCGGTTTTCTCGGCACAGAATGAAGTAATTTGACTGAAAGTTTCAGCATATTCTCTATACGTTCTCTATTTTATATTATAGCGAGATCTGTCAGCTCTTTATCTAATCTTGCATAATGCCCCTTTAGAAATTTTGTTTAACTCCGTTAGAGTACACAACGCCACAAGATTTTAAAATGACGTATTTAAACTGGGATAAATATTCAGAAGAATTTGTTAAGAATTGCTTACCCTCTTTATCTGTTGGTTTTGTCTCTGTATCTTGACAATCCGATGTCCCATCAGGACAAATACACCGACAATTCTGATCCACGTATCCACCATTTTTACAGACTATCGTCTTGGGACAGAAATCTAAAACAGTAAGTGTCACTTATGATAAACTGTGTCTGGGTTAACACACAGTAATTAAAACTTTATTTTTTTAAAAGTTTTGACATATTTTCACAGAAAATCAAGCACTAAAGGTTATAGAGTGGGAGCCCAGGGGAGTCTACCCTGTACCAATTTGTTCATATATGGTATCGATGCATGCATATCTGGTATCATCAGAATGTAAGTCTGTCGGGTTTCTGGTGGTGGGTGTGGTGTTCCACGCCCAAAATGCCATGGCCCCCAACTAGGCTAGATTAGCTCAAAAGTGTATCACATGAAAATCGTACAGCGGTGTACCGTACATCTTCAGGTACATGTATTACTAGTACCTGTGTTTTTGTAATAGCTGTAATACCTGTCTATTAAGAGACAGTAATTGAAACTTACCATTTTTTTGAAAGTTGATTGATTTTCACAGAAAAAAAAACTAATGAAAATGAGATTGTGTACTAAAGCCGAGATAAATATGATATCAAACTTGATGGAAGTGGACGTAAAATTCTAGAGACTACATGTTTTAATTTTCAATTTACGAGTCAAAATTATTTGTTAATGGTTTTCAAGGAGTTTTAAAAACACCTGTGCAAAATACCATGCTCTAAGTGGGTCAGTGGTTAATAAGTAAATCAACACTTTTATTTCATACCCAAAAATGGGTTTAGGTTTAAGTTATGTCCATTTGCAGTTTTTTTTATTGATTTAAAATATCCACCTTTACCTGTCTGTGTCAAAAATAATAATAATTCTGATGCAGTTCAAATACAAGTTATGCGATTATTTTTACAGTACATGGGTTGTTTTGTTTTTTGGGGTTTTTTTGTTCAAACTTGCTTATTACACTGTAATCTGAGAAAAATAACACATATTTCTGACAAAGTTATTGATGGACCATGTAACATGTTACGGCTTTAACATGCAATTTAAATGACGACAGTATGATAATTTGAATATTTTATCTTGTCTTTTGTTACATGACAGAAGTGTCGGTGAATATCTGCAGAATAAAAGATGAACAGTGGAAACTATGCTCGGTTGGATTATCTAATTTATAGATTCCATTATAGACGTCATTAATATAGGTTTTATATGGGAGTTAACGTCAACTCGACACAAACTAGATCATTTCAGGACTAAATTAATATGGTTAAGCCCAATTTCAATAATTCGCTTGTAAATGGGGGTTTTTAGCAATGGGAGGAACTCGGAGGAACCGGAGGAAACCCAAGAGGTTAGAAGGGTTACCCTATACTTTGTCACGTACAATGTCGTACAAGCGGGGAATAGAAACCACGCCACTTGACTCAATGACAGACCTCATCTAAACTGCATGCGTTAAACCATTTAGCCACCCAACTCCCCTTAATGTTCGATGTTCTTACACGAAATGCTTGATCAACAACCCAGGTCATTTTGGTGCATGACGCAGGGTATGCTTTCTTTTTCGAAGATGGTCATAATGTCCACTACTATTGTGATCATAAAACACACATTATTGACCTGTCTTACCTAAATCACTTTTGGTACTAAATAATAATTAATGACGTAGTCACACATCACTTACCTAAATTACTATACATGCCTAATATTAAATCTTAATTTTAATTTATATAGATATATCAGACGAAAATCCAGAGGGGGCGGGGGCAGAGTCCGGACCCCCCTGCCCAGGCTCAATTTAGAGGATACAGGCCCAAAAGAGTTGGAAATAACATGTTACAGTGTTTAATTTATCCAGAATTTCTTGGGTAGTCCACCTTCAATATGGAGATCTGAAAATTCTTGACTCCGCCCCTACTGAAAATCCTGAAACCGCCCCTGTATATATGTTCACTGATTGTCTAAGACGTTTCTTACCTCCACATTTATACATCAGATTCACAGCTTTGACATCAGTAAATGATAATTCTTTTAAATAGACTCTCCCGATTTCTTCTTCTCTTGATTCGAATTTAGCTTCAATTGTCTTAGATTTGCCATCTTTTGAAAAAGCCTTAATATAAACCACAAAATTACTTACAAAAAGTACAATTTACTATGGACTTTTACAAATCAAATACATAAAATAAGGACGGGGTTTATGAAATATGCGTTTCTTGGCTATCTGAGAGCGGGTACTTTTCTAGATGATTTTTAAAAATATTACTGAAAATACAGAGTTATAGACTATACGTGAACAAAGGTACTTGTATCAAAAACCATTAGAGTCCAGACATTACTCAAATTGGTCAATATCACTTACACCTAATTTAACGTGCACATGGATTTCTTTTGATTTCAGGTTGTCATCTTTAACTCTAAGATGATAATAATCATGCCGTCTTTTTCGTATAATCTTGGCCAATACTTTGTAAAGGTTATAATTTGTTTCAAAGAGCTCTTTCTAATTGCTTAAAGACTCGATGTGCCAGACAGCCAAATATCATTTTCCTTGTTGAAATTTATCAATCAAGGGCTCAAAGGTGTTTTATGTAGTAATCTTGATGACTAAAACAAAAAACAGGAGACGAGATACAGTTTTGGCGATGATGTTCGTGTATAGAAACGAATTAACTAGCTTCTTGTGGAATGAAATCAATAAAAAGTAATAGGGATCCGTTACAATCTAAATATTCATCAGATTAAGGATGGGATACTTGGTCTACCATGGAATTCTTGTAAAAACAATGAACTGTTAAAAATGGGGAGGTGTTTGAAGCTAGGTTTGTAGAAGAGTGTACATAGTTTGTTGTTCTAAACATGTACATCTCCTCAACGAAATGATTTTAAAATCTATGGTAAAAGTAACTCCTGACATTCTATTTGTATTTTTATGGTACATCTGAAAATCTTCACAATAGAATGGTTTAGACAATACAGACAGCTGCCTTATACAAAACTTATTTCATAATGTCTTGTTCAATTCACTATTAATTTCAAGGTTGCTACATTATGTTTTTCAGATTTCCAGACTGATTTTATTCCTTGATGTCTTAATAATGTGCTTATCTTTTTTCTCATTAAATTGATTTTCTTGAAAGTTTATTTGTTGATATGAAGATGTGTTGTGCAGTTTATTTGTTTATATGAACATATGTTGTACAGTTTATTTGTTTATATGAACCTGTTTTGCAGTATATTTTGAACCTACTTAAACTATGTCAAGCGGTGATGCCATATTCTTATCTGGAGAGCATGCGCAATAAATATCATCGGTTTAGACAGGAATAACCAGACGCTAGAGATTGCCATTCGATTGAGACATCGGGGGTATATCGCCGAACATAACTGATTTGAAATTAGAGTAAAAACGGAAACGATTGAATGTAAATCAATTTATATACATTCATATTACATTATTATAGTCGCTGCGACCCATTTGTGTCAATTTCCAGATCCCAAATAATAGCGATTTAGCTCCTTTAAATAGCCATACGTGTAACTTAATTTAGATTTGATCAACGTAAATAATTTTTTGCCAAAATATTTTAAGTAAACATAGTTTTGAATTATGTCTAGTCAAGCTCTATATCTAACCCTTTAAAGATACAGTATGACAAATGCTCAATTTCATTACCTAAATTAAAGGCACAATATTCCACAAAGATAGCCATGCAATACGTATATTCCGCCCAGATGGCAGACGTGTCTTTAAAAAAGATGGTCATACATAGCAGCTTATCTGTAAGGAAACCCTGGATGTTGGCTAAATTTTATTACGATCCTTTATGTTTTCAAGAAATCTGATCTATGGCGTGGTTACAAACTATTCCGTATACGTAATATATCTCTGGAACAGTCCTAGAATGCTAGAATTCCAAATGTTTCACACCAAATTTGAAAATCAATAGGGACCATTCTCTTACAATCCTAATGCTTCATACCAAACAATGGTTTTGAAAAAGGGCACAAACTGCAGAATGTGAGGTTATGGAAAGTTGAATATCGGCAGGGTTCATCCTTTATTTCGTTTGATAATTGACAACTACAAAGATAAATCCATATTTTTTTTAAAATCCAGTTATATGAAATATGATTTTTTTTTTTTTTTGAAAAAAAAGGATAAAATCTAGATTGAATACATAAATTGCCAAGATAAGAAATGTGTGTATTTTCAGAACATCCTGGTAAGAAGATCATTTGGGAATGATACTGTTTGTGTGGGTTGGGATATTTTTAATTGAATGATGACATTTTTTACCGGTATGGGCATATAGATAAAAGAGCTTCACAAGAAAATGATAATTGTCTTTTTCATCTATTATCCTTTAACACGCGATGAAAAGCTTAATTAGTGCATTCGTAATGAAACAGCAATATGATTTAAAAGATCAGAGTTCTCTTTGGGGTGACCATGATTGCAGCTGAATAACAAGTCTGTGGCGACAGTTAGCGTTTTATTATAATATTCGACTCTGACGTGATTAACACAATTATGGTGGATGTCGTTCGCTGAGTAGGATATTCTTACTCTTCCAGACACTAGTGAATTCCACAACAAAGCTTTTTGTGTACTTCTCGAATATAGTAAACTGTTGACTCTTATATACTGTATTGATAACATATTTTGAATGATCGAGCAGATAACAATCGTAAATTGACACTGACTTATTTTACGCACAAAAAAATCTATATTGGTTAACTTTTCAGTCCAAAACACTTATGTCTGTTTGCTACCGGTACATACAGACGTCTTGGAACTTTAATTTAAACTCGGTGGCAGAAAGACAACAATGAACAAAGTTAAGTTTCCTGGAGTTGACCGAGGATTGTCGGGTAGTGGAGAGAGAGACAGAGAGAGAGAGAGGAGAGAGAGAGAGAGGGAGAGAGGCTCGACACAAACTTATATTGAGGTCCAATTGGTCACGTGGTCTTTTACTTTCACACCAACGTGTACGACTGGACACTGTCCTTGCCAGGCCCTCCCGTTCTGCACCAATGTCAAGGGGCAACCATGCTGGGAAATCCTGGGGAACTCTCTCGACCAACACCGAGACCGAACCCTTGACCTCCTGGTTAGTCAACCAGTGCCTTTTTGAACCACCATGGCCCCCTTGTTTTGTAGCAGGAAGTCTCAAAATGTAAAAAGGCTGTTATATGAATTCTTACCGTGATACCATAATGCATGACTGAAGAGTATTCGTACGGCACTTCATTTTGATTGACCTCTACTGGTGAATATTTATTAAACCACACCTTCATCTGTGGGGCCACATTCTGATATAAGATTTTAATATAATCATCTCTCGTGGGTAGCTGATGCTCGTGAACCAGGCCAATAGCATGACCTACCTCATGAAGATATAAACCTCTCTGAAATTATAAAAGAATATATGATTTTGAGTATGAAATTTGTACATATTTTAAAGTTGTTAAGCAGTATGCAATGCTTAATGACCGTCAAAAATATTAACAAGATGCCGTAAGAAAGGGGCATAACTCAGGAGATGATTATCGAAAAAACATTAAAATTCAATATATATAGCCTTAACTTCATTTCAGTGAGATAGACAACCCATATCAATTTCAATAGGATACATACCATGAATCATTATTGCCTATATTGTGCTAACAAGAAATGTGAGAGAGAGAGAGAGAGAGAGAGAGAGAGAGAGAGAGAGAGAGATGTGGGTTATGACAACTAGGTCATTTTGTGATAAACATATGGTTCACATTTATTTCAATAATTCGCTTGTACGTAGGGGTATATAGATGTGGGAGGAAAACGGTGTACCTAGATGAAACCCCCGAGATTGGACAACCAAAGAAATGTGAACAGTAGACGGAATGACAGGGATGATGGCAGAAACAGATTAGTTTATACAGTTTATTTAAATGTGATTTTGTGATCAAGCACTCTTATCCTTTATAAACCTCCCCGATGAGACATGACAATATTTTTTCTTGTTTAAAATCTACTAAAGTGTGTTCAAGAATAAATTTCTTTTTGAATTGGGCCAAAGTGTCTTAACAGGATTAAAATTTATTTATTACCTTGTTTTGTCGAGTGGGCGTTAAACCCCATTTCACTCATTTACATGTATATGTAATTCAAAATAAAAATGATACTAAACCATAAAATAAAATTTTACATTTCAAAACGAAGCAAAATTGAAATTAAAATACCCAGGAGCTTTTTCCCCCAAATTCTGTAGATTAATCTGGTTCTGTATGTTGGCAAGATTTTCAAAAATATGACTGGCAGACAATTATCCATTCATATTTTTATTTGGACTGTTTCTATCTACTGTTTCGCTTGGATATGCAGGACATGTCCTATGTGAGTTGGCAAACGTCCGACCGGTAAATATGCCCATATAGCGCTGATAACAAAGCATTATGAAGAATAAATATGCACTAGTTTTATGAATTTTTATTTTTTCCTATTAATTTCATAATGATAATACTTACATATCGACAACCAGGTGCTTCTAAATTTAATACTTGTATACCACCAACCATACCCAACTGTGAATTACATCTGTATTAGAAAAGGAAATATAAAGGCTAAAATGTAAAATTACTGTTAAATATGTAAATGTAATGTAAATCTACTGTTAAATTTATCAATCCTAACGCATGTTTTAACCATTTAAACTTTACGTTGATTTCTCTTGATTTCACACTGCCACCTATATATTTCTAGACAAATAAACCCACCTTACAATATGTGTGAATTAGCTGGCATATTGTACCTTTTAAAAGATACAGGTTACATCATAAAAGGATTGTCTTTAACTTAATCATATAAATTAATCTGTTTTATGTTATTTATGTAGGTTTGACAATACTTCGAGCAAATATTTCGTAATGCATTTTTATGACAAATGTTATAATGTACAGACTTATTGATAATAATTAATAACCGATTATCATTTTTTTAAAACAATTTCAAACTTAAAAAAATTATAACAGATTTACACTTCTCTAGAATGACTGCAGTACTCGATTGATTATGTCACTGGAATGAAAATTGCACACAGAAACTTCATCCCTTTCCTTTCATTTCTAATTTGAGATTTACAAAATGACCATTTCAAATTGGATATTCTCTATTCACCATTTTGAAACTTTCTACCAGAATGATGGCCAATATCCCATTTTCTTTTATGAATTATCCCCTTATGTCAGACATGCCTACTCACCCTTCACCATTTTGAAATTGTAAAACGTTTTTATCTGCTTTTGTAGCTTTCCTAAATCTAAGACAAGTGTATCGTTCCCACTCTGTCATCGCTTGTTTCATCATGTATTGCTCTTTAGAATCTGTTTAATATGTAAAACAAAATATATTATAATTTGACAAATCAGAGAAACAGAAATTATACATATATTTTAACAGTAAAATATATATGCCGATGCGCAAAATCTTATTTTTGTTTTGTTAATCACTAAAATTTAAAAATCAGGGTAAAAATCTAAAGCGTTTTGCAAGATCATCAAACTGCGATTTACATGATTTAGTAACCAAAAACAAAATGGCTGTAAAAAAAATTGAAACATCGTTAAACGAAACCTTTAATATACGATATTGTATCAGTGACCTGGACATGCTCGACTACTTCCAGATGCCCCACCCCACCCCCTTTGCATACTGGCACAGGCATTAAATAAGAAACTTACCAAAATGTCTGGCAGCAAATTTATACGGGACAGCTTTATTTGACCATCTTAGTCTTGTATTTCTAACTGCCTTTCTCTTCTTTCTTCTTCCTAAGGTCTTGTTACTGACTACTATGTCACTGAAAGAGATAAAATATAAGTGTTTTAGATTTATCCGATTATAATCGACAAAGCCATGAAATTTCGCTAGGATTGATTCTTACTACAAGAAGTATTCTACGGTTTACATGTCTGAGAATAATATTGTCTGATAAAAAATGGTTGATATGTTTTAATTATATATGCACCTTGAACATCTCGATGGTCTAATGGTCTTTTGTTAACAACCTGTGGTAAACAATAGTTTAAAGAAGCTAAATCGCTAATATTTTGGATCTACAAATTGACACAAATGGGTCGCAACGTATATTATAATAATGTAATATGAATGTAAATAAACTGATATGCATTCAATCGTTTCCGTTTTACTATAATTTCAAAGCAGTTATGTTCCGCGAAATACGCCAGAAGCCTCAATCGAATGGCAATTTCTAGCGACTGGTTATTCCAGTCTATACCAATAGTATTTATTGCGCATGCTCTCCAGGTAAGAACATGGGGTCACCGTTTGACATGACTTGTGCAGTATGTCTAACCTCGTTCTTTGGGTCGCTTGTTACAAATTGCGCTGAAACGCATTATGGTACACGATTCGTGTACCAATCGTGAAATGTTTATTTTGTCTTAAATATTGGATAACAAAAGCCCATCTTTTCCCGATAAGATCACAACACCAATGTTGATTAAAATTGACAAATAATTCGTGTTTTCAATGTCGAAGGTTTTGGATGATACTGAGTTAGAGACTTAGCTACTTTAAACCAACAAAGTATTTAATAAAAGTCTGTCAGCAAAAAGTCCATACTAAAGTTCGTACTGTATAAACCAAACTCCATCAATAATAATTATGTGGCCATGCCCTATTAATCCGGAAAGAATTGCATCCCAAGTGATACCAACTGATCGTTCAAAAGTCTTCAGTAACGTAGACAAACCAAGCAGAATATTAAACTACTATCAGTGACCATGTAGGGCATGGACTGACCGAGCAGTATTTAGGGGCTTTCACAGTGACATTATGACTTCTTCCTCAGTTCTTGGAGAGATCTGGGGATGTAGATATGCACGTCGTCAGCTGTTTCATTTACGTTCTACTGGATATTTAGATGTAGTCACTGAGATATTTAATTTTTAGGATCTTATTAGTGAAAAGTCATTTAATTTGGGGGAGGTGCATTTGCTTTATCTTGAAAACAAAATCATTTCCTTTGATCTTGAGCATCTATGAATATTGAAATGAAACATTTTTTCTTTACAGTGAGTTGTTCACATATCTCTTTGGGCAGGATGCATTTTCTATCTCTTCTACCCTTTCAGCTTTAGCTAGCAAAAAGTCAGATGATGACCCAGTATTATAATAAACAGTAGTTGTATTCCTTTATCTCTTACAGTAGAATTAGTTTGAAATAAATTCAAAATGGGTATAACAAGGGTCAAATTAAGCTTGCATGGGGCCCCTGGCTGAAAATTTTCCTGGGGCATTGCATCAATAGTGAAAATAAGATATGTTCCGGTGCACCTCCGCTTGTTGCCTTACCGTAGCTGCAAAACTTGTATGTTCCTCTTGTTAGACTCTACTGTAACGTATAACATATTTATCTATGTTAAGCCCAATCAGGCTACCCCCCTGTCCCACTAATGGAAACGATGAAAAGATAAAAGGTATGCCGACACAAACTGATTTCAACAAAGCTTACAATTTTTTTTTTATTCCTATCAGGTGCACATTTCAACGTGAAACTTTAACTACATTCAAAGGGAGATAATTATCGAAACACTGGTACATTTAATTTGTTTTTATTACATATAAAAACTATTAATTGTTTTAGATGGGAAGATGAAATAAAAACATTGTGTAAAAATTTGAGGGAAAAACGTTGCCTGGAACTGATCGAAATTATATCTGATAATTACTGAAACACTGTCACATTTAATTTGTTACTACATATTTCATGTTCTTAAATAGCTTCATATGATGTGGGTAGGATAAAAAAAAATAAATACATGGATTTGATTAATTTCAACTAATCTGAATCTGAGTGCAACAAATGGTAATAATCTTGGTCATAATTATGTCTGATGGATCGGCAAAAGTAAACGTTGATATCGTTGACTAAGCAACAAATAACTGTTAAAAATGAAAATATACGCCACTAATAGATCAAAGTCATCAGTTTATATACATAATGTGTATTATTAGTTAGTTAAAATTGTTAGTAATCAGGCAGTAGTCATTAAGTAGGTGTTTTGTCACTAAGGAGTTAAAACTGTGACTATTGAATGTTATACACCACTATTGGTTAGGTTTGTGTATTCAATATTGATGGGTGTTATAAATAATCACATTTTTTACAGCTAGTTGCACACTTGCTAATTAATGGCAACTGTATAATTTTTAACCACTTTCTATACATACTAAACATTAGTTTAAAATACTGACCACTTATATGATTTAATGACAAAAATTGTCATTACTAAAAGGCCTGGCTTCATTAGTCAACGGTATAAGCTTACATGTTATAGTACATGAACTTTTCCAGACGTTAAATTATTGCATGTGATCTAGCAGGGAGCAATATAATTAATGAGATTATAATATCTCCAAAATAAATTTTTGAAATATGTCCTTTCGTACGTGCAACAAATTCAATTTATCCAAGTATTATAATGGTGTAAGCATTCCTTATAGAATAACTTAAACGAACTGAAAACAGATTTGTCAATGTAATGCCGAACAAAGGAACCTTCATTCCAATCGTTTGTCAAAATTTGAAGAGAATGGCGTAGGCAGTCGACCAAAGAGGAAAAGACAACAAATTACCTAGATATTTTCAAATAAATGTGTTTCATCGCAATGATTTAGAAGCTGATTGAGACAGTTTGACAAATTTTGTTTGCTCAGATTAAAAATGGATGACAGTATCATAAAATATAACTGTCAGTCGAAATGCTAATCCAGGAACTATATCTACAAAACAAGCTGTAATACACATACGTTTTCGTTGGCTAGTTGTTCCTTCATATTAAATCGTGGGTGCAACGTTAGGTTTTATTGGCAGTCAGGAAGCCGAAGAAAGTCAATGCAAACATAAATAAATGTAACAAGGAATACAAAATATAATTGGATTTAACGTTCAACTTATCTGCTGCATCCAGGCTAATGAAGATGAACATACGCCATGCAGTGTGCCTGGCACTACGGCCTACTTTTATTCCGAATTCCTGCTGTCATAGGTTATTCTATGTGCACGTCAATGTGTTCACAGTACCTTGGTTTTCCGTCCAATCCGAACGACTAGGTGTTGTTCCCTGTCAGACCCTCCGCCCTGCACAACTGACAAGATCTCACTCCTAATCGTATTTAATATACTATTTTGACACGCCAATTATTAAATTTCTTTTTTTTTCTATGTGTTTGGAACAAAGATATTGAGGAGATTTGGGACTGGGTTCATGACATGCACAACTCACCTTGATGGTGGTTCATATAAATTTATGAACTGTTCATATGTCAACATCATATCTAACTCAGCTAAGATGTTATCACCTGGGGATCTCATTTTCTGGGCAGCAACTTTAGTAAACAAAGATAAAACAATATTTTAAAATACAGTCAAGGCAGGCACGTTGCTAAGGCACTTATGAGTTTGAAATCAATGAGGACTTATAAAAAACTGGATCTCTGTGATGATGGTACAGCAAGTATATATACCTTTAGTCATTCGGATACCCACTCCCCTCCCCTGGCCTCGTAGCTTTGGCATGTGACATCCAAAGGTCAACTATTACTCAATATATAGGCTACATATTGTGATGGGTTATGGTGCACAAGGGTTCGAGTATGCTTACACTTTCTGGGAGCATCTGATACCATGCGTCCTTCATTTCCAACAATGCATATCTGCCTTGGTAAATCTCCAAAGCTCTTAATGATTATAGCAATGTCTCCCATTATCCAGAAATAAATTCATATTTGGGACTCAAATGTGAAGATTTTTTTAAACAATATTTCTATTCAGGATATCTAAATATAAATTTAAAAATGCATTATGTAAGCGCTAAATCTATCTGGCTTCAAATATTCAAATGTCATATTAATTTTATTTAGACGTTTTTACTAATATGGCAAGCTTATAATAAACTCTCTAGGTCACCGGATGGCTGAGATATTGAGTGGATTTGACAATGTTTTTCATATTTTGTTAACCGTTAAAATGGAAAACCAAGACTATTATTATTATCGTAGCAATGGTACTTGACAATCAAGACTATTTCTTTGTCATTTTTCATTATCTATTTTGACCTATCATAGCAAGAAGAACCAGTTCTTTATCGAGATCGTACATAAGGCATCTCTAAAGAAATGCTTCTAGTAAAGAATGTCCTACCATCAACTCCTCCTAATGTCTGTGTGATAATCTGATCTATAGTTAAATTAGTTTCTTTTTCATCTCCCAGCTTATTACGTAATGGAGGGGGTCTGTTAGCATTCGTCTCTGGAAGACTAAGTATAAAACTTGTATATAATAATACCTGAAAAAAAAAATATAGTTATCAAAAATGACATGATAATTAATTGGCTCAGTAGTTTCCGCTTACACAATGTAACAGGACCTATTTTGATATGCCTACAGGTACGGACGTGCTTAGAAATGAAAGTTCAGTGCTTCGAGAATCTAAAATCCGTGCTTTGAAAAAAAAATGGTATGTATCCTTGTGAATCTGAAGAGTTGTATGAGGCAGTTTAGCAATCGTGCCATTAGCAATCATTATGACCATCAGTCACGTCGTTTGATTTCGTTTCAATTCCATGTTTTGTATGTAAATGTCTAAAAATAAAGCTGTTGATGACCAAATTGACATACCTCTACCGTCGTCAGGCGCAGGTTACAGTAAAGGTTCGTCTGTTTTGGGGCGGTTCTTTGGGCTGTCCATGATGCCTATACGCAGTTATAAATACAAATCTTAATTACGTAATTTTTTTATACCGCCCTGTTTTCACATTAATTTGTGCCTCAATTTTTGCCCGTTTTAGGTGTTGAGGATCAAAAGATGTTGGTTGAATTCGATTTTGGTGGATCTGCTTGGGCTATGGCCTTACATACAGAAAGCGTAAAGTTTTTGAGCTTTCTAGTGTGATGAATTGTTAACATGGGAGCACGACTCCTATCGATAATCAGCATTCCGCAACCCTCTGGTCCAGAGTTAAGTCCCCTCGAAAACCTTGTTGAGGCGATAGAGGCTACAATTTTAACCGAGGATGAGCCCTATCGATTGTCCTTGTTCCCTGTTCATCTCTTACAAAATATCGGCGTATCGTGTTTGACAACCGCTTGTTTGGTTATAAACGTGTAAGCGTGTGATAATTCAGCAAGTTTTTATGCCACTTCTGGAGAGGGTTGCTTTGGTCACAATTAATTGGTCACGATTTCAGACGGTTTATTCAAACACAGTAGAACTGATAAAGGTGATGGAAGAAGCTAACGTGAGCCTATCAAGTCCTGAAATCGTGAGTCACATTTTGGAAATTTTGTCGGAACCCAAGGGGGATATATACCCATAGAAAACTCATCTCTGGAAACCGTGCTTCGTCAATAAAACCTTAAAATAGGTCCTGTAGTGTCATATCTGGCTGTGAATTTATTTTACTGTCCGTATGCAATTTTCGCACTAAAGGGGTGTGTCAGTGCAATAAAATTCGATTATATTCTGCAGCGGTTAATTATGTGCGCCTGTGTGAGTAGCCCCAGCTTATGAACTACAACTCTAAACAATATATAGTTCCAATTAAGAGTGTTTTGAAGGGTGTCTTGAAAAGACATGCCGTGTCGCAGTTCGACGAGGACTGATTTACCACATGCGTCACTTTCTATCATTGTTTTTTTTTATGAAACCCTGTACATGTTCAATGCTTTATAACCACTCATCTGTTTATTGTTGTAATTTTGATTTGATTTGGGGAACTATTTCTTACTTATTTACATAATTATTGTTTTACTTATTATTATAATAATTGTATCTGCTTGCCTGCTTGGGCTATTTGAATCCCTAGCTTATGTATATCTGCCATTTTACTTACAGAAATATCAAATCTAATTAAAATGATGCGATCACCGCGGTGTTGGCCTACAAAGTTTCTCATCTCATCTTTTCCGAAACCGGGTTTCACTTTCTCACTGGTGTAGATTGTCATTCTTATGGGGAGAGAGGGAAAGAGAGAGAGAGAAATGGGGTTTAACATTCACTCGACACAGACTAGGTCATTTGGGGACTATTATATGGCTTTAATTTTTTATTTCAATAATTCGCTTGCGCGTAGGGGTCTTTAGCAGTGGGGGGAAACCGGAGGACCCGGAGAAAACCCACGAGGTTGGACAGGCAACCCTACTTCTTGTCACGTACCACCGGGGATTCGAAATTACGCCAGTTAACTCAATGACAGGCCTCGTGATACAGAGCACACGTACTAACCATTCGGCCATCCACCTCCCCCCCCCCCCATTCTAATGGGACGAAAAATGTTATCAGTTGGAAATCAAAATAAGCGCTGCTGTTTTACAGTTTTTAAGACAAAAATTCTTACATGCAACACTGCATGGCGCATACGGGCGGCATACCCATCTTCATGAGCCCGTTTGTCGTAGAGCATTAATTTCATTTCAGCACGTCGATCAACTTCAAAATCGCAAAGAAATACTAGAAAACATTAAACAGTATTATATTGGGATGTTCAAAATGATTATTGTTTAGATTTATTTGAGATGTTGTTATGCTATGAATGGTGATATTGCAATATTATTTATCACTGTATGACAAAGCGGAAGAACGGGAAACGGACATAAGATATTAACTCAAGTGTATATGAATCAGTCTTGATAGTTAGTATATGACTTTCAAATATCAACACACAATATGGTCGTTGTCCTCAGAAGACCCCGTAACCCAATTTCTTACTAAAAATATAAGATCGCCCATGACAGACATTCTTGGGGGAGGTAGATCTATTTTAAGGGAGTTAGCAATGAGGGAAAAGGGCTCATTTACATCATCGGAAGATTCAGCTAAAAATACTGAAATGGGGGCAAAAATGGCTTTCGCCGATTTCTCAACCATTCTTCTACTCAGACCCAAGAAGATGGTACATCGCTCCAAGGCCCATGAAGCCGCAGGGGGTGGGATATCTATCTATTCGTTTTTTACGTCGGCTTAGTCGATATTAGTGCCACAGAAAATTAACTATTCAGTGCTAGTAAACAGATTTCAGTTATAAAGAAATAAAGATCCTTCCACGGGTGTAGTGTGAGTAGTGTTGGGGGGGGGGGGCAAAGATTCTTTGGCGGCCCTGCTGTCACGTACGACATCTATCGGGCATCGTTTCTCCAAGTTAAGAGTTCTTAAACAGCTAGTAAGCTTGATTAAACGATACTATAAAAAATAGGCCACTGCGTATTGTCATCACAGTTGGGAAATTGATCGCAAACTACCCATGACATTTGTCCGTATGTCTTTGTAAAAATATCTCCTTGTATACGGCATGGAACATAAAACTTCTATATTTACTCAATTGTATCTGTGATGGCGCCTGTAAAAAACATGTTCTTAGTTTCTTGTTTCTAAACTTGTATCTATGTCAGACTTACTATATCATTTATCTCATATAACTTGAAATGTGCATAGAAAATTTGACCAATGAAATGGATTTCTTCCACTCTATTGACATCGTGACTTGAAAATTATTTACTGAACGACAAAAGATATTGCACATTAAAGATGCCTTAAAGCGTCGATTGGCTTTCTTTGCCTGTTTGGGGGTTGGATGATTTAATGGTTTAACGCGTGCGTGTGAAATCACAAGGTCTGTCATTGAGTCATGTGGCGTGGTTTCGATTCCCCGCTTGAACGTGACAAGGAGATAGTAGAAAGGAAATATAGATCTGTATTTTGATCAGATTGATTAATCACGAGTTCTAAATTTTGTCATTGCCGGAGCTTAAGCGGGTCCGTCGCCCACTGCAAGCTCACGGCGGCTCTGCTGCTGGACATAGCCCACCTTCTTTTCACAAGTACTGGATCTGTCCCTGTGGTGTATACGTTGATCCTCTTATATCAGAGCCTATAAGCCGGAATACCAAAAAGATGCATTTTGGGCAATACTACCATCTCTTGCATTACATTCGCCACCATGCCATATATAAAATTAACGCATAATGATGCTCAAGGTCGACAAGGTGTTAAACTCATTCCAATCCTAATACAGTTTTCCTTTTGCCCATATTTAGCTGATTTCTCATAACATTAATTACAAAAGCACAACACGTACTTGTTAGCACTGTGGTAGCTAGTTCTCTACTTATAGCCAACTGGAGCAATAGGCTACAAGGTAGAAGATAACTCGGAGAGAGAGAGAGAGAGAGAGAGAGAGAGATAAATGGGGTTTAACGTCCACTCGACACAAACTAGGTCATTTCGGGACTAACACATGGTTCAATTTTATTTCAATAATTCGCTTGCACGTAGGAATCTTTAGTAGTGGGAGGAAACCGGAGGACCCGGAGAATACCCAAGAGGCTGGACAGCCGACTCTACTCCAGGTCATGTACAACCGGGGAATCGAAACCCCGCCAGTTGACTCAATGAAAGACCTTATGATACAGCGCGCACGTGCTAAAGATAATCTCGGGACCAAGGGACATTGCAATAGCCCCCACCATACCCTGCCTGGTGCATGAACTAACTGGGTTGGCCTGCTTTGAAGACGTCAACGTCCGCTGTTTAAATGTTAAATATATATATGGCGTTTGAAAAAATCATTTATATCCTACGATGTAGAGATTATATAAAACAATTTGTTTTTCTACTGGTTCAATACACGTCATATATCATGAATAGACAATAATCTCTGTAGGATTTTGTTTTTCACATTTCGATAGGGAATTCACACTGTAAACTCCTTTCAATAACTTCTTAACATGATTGATGAAGTGGTGGAAAAGGTTTAAATAATGCCTTGTGTAGATCTCTGTCAAGGGTAGCAGATTTATAGGTTTAAATCCCCCCACCTCCATTATTTGCAAATGTTTTAATTATTATAAACATTTTGGCTTTATAACACTGACAGCCTAGCCCACCCAATATGAATTGTCTTACTTATATCTAGAGCATAGCCTGAAAACTCAAAATGTGCCAAAGACAAAGAAAATGTTTCATGCACTCAAGCGCTGGTCTTACTTGTAAAGTAATGTTTGTGGTTTAAATATATTTTATTCAGTTGAGATTTAGAAAACTTAAAGGAGTCATACCGCGTACTGAGTCACGACACAAAACCACGTACGCGATCAAACCACCAAACCCAACTTGAAATAGCTAGAAACTAGAAGGTGTCACTTTAAAAAGGAAACTAGAGCAAGTTAACATGTATAAACATTGCATGTCTTGAACTGGAAGTTTTGTTTAGCTAAGCAGAAATATATACCACTGCCATGTGGTCTGTGTTTGCCTTTAATTCCTTCCAGAGTCTAAGTTAAAGAAATAATAAATTAAAAACGTCTTACCTGCATACAAACCGCACAAAGTTGCGTTTTTAAACCCATTTTACAAATCGGTAGCTATTCCTTTTCTAAGTTACACTGTGTATAAATATATATATATGCCTTTTTTTAAAAAAAATATTAACTGTTATAATAAGATTAAATATAAATTTACACGTCTCGAAATAAATTGAATCGTCTATTGCTTGTCCCCTCGCCGCCGACCAAACAAACTAAAATTTGAAGATTTGGGGTTTATATATATAGAGTCTCAGCTACGGAAATAAAAGTTTACCGGAATGACCTCGTACTTCAAGTTGGTGGAAGCTAGTCATGACTTTATCCGGCCATCTCTCTACCAATTGATCAAATACTCATTCATATTATAACTAATGTAAGTACTAATTGTAATAGGGTTATACCGTTTCATAGTCCGGGATGATTTCATAGATGCACTGTATGAGGGATCGTCATTACTAGTCAGCATACAATGAATGTATCATCGACATCTGTCACCCCATCCTTTTAGCCAAATGCGATGCATTCGTTAAACGATCCGGTTGGTGAGAGGTACATTTTCAGGATTAATTTTGGGATTGCCAAGACATTGCCCCCCCCCCCTCCGCACACACACACACACACGCGCGCGCGTTTCAGGCTTTGTGGCATTTTAGTTACTTATCAATATCGTCAGGCGCGGATTTAAAGCTGGTTACTTCTGAAATTTTTTCGCGCTTTCGGCGCTCAATTCCATTATGTCATTATTTTTCCACTCCTCTGTTATACTATCTCATCATTTATCCTCTCGTTCACGAGAATTTTGCTTCCATTTACCATGACATTGGCCAAAATTTCCAGGCCCAGTCCCAAACAATTAAAAGCTCAGTTACATATTATACGTTGCTATCTGAAATTTTTTCGCGCCGTATTCTTCCACTCCTCTGCGATCTTATACTACCTCAGCACTATCATATTCACAGTTATAGAGAACTGCCAAGTAGTACCACTATAGCGTGTGTCATGGGGCAACAGATTGTACAAATGTTCTTTGTTCTCTCAACTCTTACAAAACAGGCGGGATTGACAAACTGATCTCCAAATTCTGTCCCATTGACTCCCATTTTTGGTCCTCTGGTTCACAAGAATTTTCTCCCAGCAATGACCTTAAATGCCAGGATATTGACTCAATTTTTCAAAATTTTCGCCGGGGGAGACCCCCCCCCCCTTCAGGTTGTTCAGTGTTATAGCCACTAAAAAAATCGAACAACAATCATAATATGTCTTTAGTCTTAATGTCCACTTGAATAAAACTTCTTTCCGATCTATGTTCTACTGGTACGTTCAGTGTTAGGCATATAGCCAGTATTTTGTTGACATTTATTGTGGGGAGGGATTGTGGATGGCACCCTAGATTTGGACACCCCTACCCTACCTATTTTCAGCTTTTAGATCCGCTAGTGAATATCGTGGTGTTATAAATATAAATATTTTGTTAAAGGTGATACATTAGGGCTATTTTATCTCGAGGCATTAAAATTTTCGACAAGAAAATGTAATTAATTTTCGCATTCAAAAAAATCGTGCACTTTTTGGTGAAAATCCAAGAACAGGTATATTGGGACAAAGCCTTTAACAAACGCCCCTTGATCTTTTCAAAACCACTCAGGAGCTATAATAATGTTTACGGCATTATTACTTTTTAACTAATAACGTCAAGTGGCAAACTACCGGCTTTACTTAACGTCATTCAACAGACGACAACCCGTCAAGGCTATTCGCATTTTTTCCCGATTGCTTCCTGGTATTCTGTTTTAGCTTTACTCTGTTTTATAGAAATGAGGTCTTATGCCCTAACTTTTTTATTAATACACTTGAATTCGTTCGCACGCTTATAATGTTTTGGTCCCTATTTTTGACTACTACGTAGACCATTTAGTTTTTACTTGCTTTTTTACTACATTTCACTTAATTACACGTAAAAATATTTTCCTTGAATTAAGGTGCCTACATTCACCGGGACGCGTCCCCACCAATATTTTTAGTGGTGGGGACATGATATACTGTGTCCCCACCATTTATTTCCGTTATTTCCGATGTTTTGCTTACTGTTTATTTTCTGAAATTGAAATCATTCCAGAGCTTTTATTGACATTTCAAAAAGTGTAGAGTTGGTCCCAGTCACTTGAGGCCAGGGTCCTTAAGTTGTACAGCTGCACCCGGTGACCGATTTTTATTTAACAGGGAATAAGTGATAATTCATTTTATAGCAGTAAATAATTAAAATATTCTATAGGGATTAAAATATGTATATCGTGTGCATATCTGATCCGCTGGGTATTAAAGGGTTAAGGAATAACTGAAATTTTGATTTTTTCTGGTATACTGGATGATAAATCACCTAACTAAAGGATTTAGTTTGTATATCAGGGGAACCCCTCATTGCTAGATTTGCTGCCATACTAAATAAACGTATTTTTAAAGACTGGTTTCTATCTCTCTCTGTGGAATATAGGCAATTAAAAAATAAATCTAAAATTTAAGACTCGAACCCTCTATTTTTTTGAGTACAGTAAGCTGAGCCAAGAATTGTGTACTTATTATCACAAGTAAGTGAAAAAAAATTTGGCTGTTTTGAAGATGGTTTAGAAATTTAGGAAATTTATTGGAAAAGACATTTTTTAAAACCTGTCATGGGCCGTCGAGAAAGAAGACAATGGGAAAAGAAACGGGCAGAGTGGATATAAGTGTACTGTTCTTTAGTTTTAAATATATTAAACACTTTATTGAATTTTTTTTTTCGATTAAAAAAAAATGCTCTCTGAACTATTAAATGATGCTGAAAATACCCACAGAGTGCGTTTTAGAGCGTCTAGTTTTCAATAAATTTCGGGGGAGGACCCCCAACCCCCTTCTTTACCAATAGTCCCCACCACTAATTTTTGGCGATCTGCGCCCCTGCCTACATTTATATTTCATGTAGCACATAGCCGATCATGATTCAAACTAGTATTATACAACGTTTGGGAAATATTCCCTTATTGTCAGTTGGAGTGAAGTCTGTATAGTAAGGGAGCTGGGTTCAGGTTATTTCTACCATGCTAGATGAGTGGACAGCGGTGCCCGATACTCTGAACTTTGATTCTTAAGTTGCGGGTCCCCTTCCCATGGGGGTGGAGGCCCGACAAAACGTCGAAATTTCGGGTTTAATACGACTTTTGCTTACAACGATCAACCTCAGATGTCGCCAAAAATCACTGCTTAAGAAGACCCCTTTCCTTCCTTCCTCCCTGAAGAACACCAGATTTACACCCATCACCCCCCCCCCCCCCGAGAGATGAATTAATTCGACTTCCGCGTACAACATCAATTTTTTCGTTAAAAGTTTAACTTTTAGTCTACCAGAACATAACCCGGATAAGAACGACATAAAGGTAAACTGACCAAAGTGCCGATCTAATTCGACTTTTAAATACATCGATCAACCTTTGTGCATAAGTCTACAAACCTCAGATGTCGTCAAAATAACTGCTTAATAAAACCTCCTACCCTTCCTTCCTTCCTTAAGAACCCCCCGCCCTGAGGGGGCCCATGGGTGAAATTACCAAATCTGGCGATTTAACCCTTTCAATGCTAGACGTAAATCCACTGCCTGTGCTAGACCCTTTTTTGAGGAAAAAAGGGAGGTTGGAACTGAATGCCAAGCAGTACTTATGGAAGCTTTTATGAAAAAATTTTTTGTCTGTTGGGATGGGCATGGGGTTGGGCTAAGAGGAAAAAATAGAATTTTGGAAATTTGCATAATAATGTAGTCACGTGACGTCATGGCGGCCATTTTGGATTTCTCATTTCTCACTAAAGCTAACACGAAAACGAATTTTTCTCCATGAAATACTTAAAAGATATTGTTTTTTTCACTGGATTTTGATAAAGATATATAAAATGAACAAAAATATCAATAGCAGCCATGAGCAATGCCGCCACGAACACGCGCATCACGTCTCCCGCTGCCATGACCACGTGCGGATTGCAATACCTTGTTTTTACTTTCACTTTCACTTTCATCCCCAAGTCCCATATCATTATCAATATAGTCAGTCAATAGATCTACACGTTCGGGACTCAGGAATTGCCTATGTCTTTTACGATCCAGCAGGCCAGCATTATTATCAACATCAGAATTATTGTCGGAATCTACTGCAGACACAGGGCTATCGTGTTCACATTGGGCTTGTTCATCATGCACGGGAGACATAGCTAGCCATGGGCGGAACGTCGCGCAACAAATCACACACTTCATAATACCAATCACTGTCCTGACTACTTTCATTATCGAGTAACTGGAAACGAATTATGTGTATCACCCGCCTCGAAATTGTCCACGTGTTGGTCAGCAAGACGTCATTCACGACTTCGCCGAGAGTGCATCGTCTACGTTGTCACTATGCACTCCACCATTTTACGGTTTTCCGCTTTGAAACACGTGGAAATATGTTCTAGTGTATAGAAAATACAATAGATGGCACTTGCAGTTACGGTACTAATTTTAGCGAGGGCTTTACTGAGTACATGGTAATACCGGGTACGCGCATTTTACCGACATTTTATAATACCCGGTACTACCGGGTATACGCAGTGAAAGGGTTAATTCGACTTTTGCGTGCTGCGATAAACTTTCGTACATGCAGGGGCGTAAATATGGGGGGTGGGGGGTGGGGGGGGTACAATAGTCGGTCGCAAAATCAGTGCAGTCGGTCGCAAAATAAGAGCAGTCGGTATCAAAATAAGTGCTCACTGCACACGTTACGCTACTGACGCAAAACTTTAGTATAAAATAACCTTGTCAACTTATCATGTTTGAAAAAATGATGTGTTTAACTCTTATTCTGTTGTGAGTACAATGTATGTAGGTCTAAGAACAAAATTTCCCCCAGGTAGAAAAATAGTCGGTCTCAAAATAAGTGCAGTCACTGCAGTCGGTCTCAAAATTATGCATCGCCGTCTTAATGAATTAATGAGGTAAACAAATAATTCCAGAATAGATCCCAAATACTAGTCGGTCGCAAAATCAGTGCAGTCGGTCGTAACATATATGAGCAGTCGGTATCAAAAGTGCTCACTGCATACGTCACTCTACTCACGCAAAACTTTAGTATAAAATAACCTTGTCAACTTATCATGTTTGAAAAAAATGTTTTTCACCCCATGGCAAAGAAATAGTCGGTCTAAAAAAAA